CAGGGGTATCACATAGACTTTATGAACGCAGCGTAGCTCTCGTAACACGTATATCCTTGATAGAAAGACCTGTATCCGGCAATCCGGACTTCCGGCCCTCGTGCGTGTTTGCATTCCCCATTTTATAGATTCAAATTTAAAATTTCTGAAACCTTTTCTTATAAATATAGCATATACTGCAAACTATTTAGGATTGTTAAAAAAAAGATTAGAATATTGAAATGTAATAAGTCATCAAATGAACAAAAACCTTAAAAAGAAACAGAATTCTAAATATATAGAAAATGTCATAATTTTTTCCGAGGTTGTGGTGGTCTGGTTAAATAACTGAATAAAAATGACTATATTTAATTTTACAATTTTATTTTGAAGCCACAGAAAATTTATTTCCTAATATTGAAAACTTCCGCCGAGATAACAAATTATTTAGGTTCAATATCTATAGGATTACTTTAGTTTAAAAATAAGAAATATAAAATAAGATAAGAATAAGAAAACACTCCCAAATAAAATTTCTTCAGGAGTCTCTGGATAATACTTAATTTAAAAAAAATCATCAATTATCCTATAAATACTATTAAAAATACTAAGATTTAAAATACTGTAAATCAAGCTTCTTTAGGAAACAAAGACCATTAACCTCAAGAAAGGTACACACTGCGATAAAAGGAACCCGTGCTTGTGGTGAGAGAAATCTAAAATTGATTATCTGAACAGGAATCCAAAAAATAAGACCAAGAATCAATGTTGGGATAATTTTCAATCTAAGTTCCTCCATAGACTTGTCGGCAGGTATTCCCTAAAGGAAGTTGATGAGAAGATAAAACATTGCAACAAGAGGAACCTCGAGGACAGTTGAATCCAAAAAAACCTATGAAAAAATGTCAAGATCTAAAAGCACGAAAAAAATATGAAAGATCAAGGAATTGAGAAAAAACTAGAAGCTATAGCACATAACATATTTTTAAAAATATAAAAAATGATATTCTAAACATTATAGACATAGTGTAAGGGGGGAAGGGACATATTACTCTTTTGGAAACTTTAACAGTGTTCTGAACTGAACATATTTTAGTACAAATTAAAAAAATTATCAATCGAACTAAAACATCAAATTTTATATACCGTTTCCCATTCAAACTTAATTAGTACAAATGAACAAATCGCATTTAAAAAACTGCACAGTGTACATTTAGATGGAATTAAATTGTTTAAATTATCCCAATACAGTGTACAGTGTACAGTGTACAGTTTACATTTAGATGGAATTAAATTGTTTAAATTATCCCAATATGTCTGTCAACTGTTTTCTGTTAGGAAGGGATTCCTAGGTGACTCGTGAGCTATGTCATTAAGAAAAAATACGCCAATTTGAGAATAGTTGACTTATTGATAAAAAATCAGGTTTAATTGATATCATTTTTTCATTCAAAAACCTTCTCTTACCTTCTTAAGAACAGTCTTTAGTTGAACCCCTGGGTATACTTTATCTAGCCAACTATACCAGTAGAACAGTATAGGTGAAAACACTGTTCCGCCCACAGCAGTGTATCTAAAATACAGTAATTGTAGTCCGGAGGCAGTGTTAGGGTGGGGAAAAGAATTGTCGCAGGGGTTTATATTTTCAAAATTCCCTTCCCCATGAAGGAAATAATTTCGATGCTCAGGAGAAAATTTACCCAGTTCTGCGAATAAACCCCACGCAAACATAACTTACATTTTAAAATAGAAGGGTTATCAAGAGGAATATTTTCAAAATAAAATATCTCTAAATATTAAAATATTATTAAAATATCGCTAAATGTAGGGGTTGAATGAGAAGTGGGGGTTCGCACATTTTAAAAGAAACGCTAAATATTAAAAAGAAGAATTAAAAATGAACAAAGATTCGAGAACTTTATAAAAATTTAACCTTGCAACGGACAAAAAATCGAGTTTCTCAACTTTGAGTTTCTTCCATTTTGAAATTATCTTCTTTTCTAGAGTTTATTGTGATAATTCTGTCAGGCCCGTGAGTGAACCGTAAGTTACACAGAATGGTGCATAAAGGATGCGTCCTATTCAGTTCCCGAGCTTGGACCCAGGCCTTGCGGAATACTTCCCGCAGCATTATCATCTGTAACAGCTTTTTCATTGCCAAACTCCGAAAGCAGTTATATAAAAATATTTGAACAGATGGGAAAGAATTCTGTTGAAGAGGTGATAATCTCGGCTACTGGAGAAAAGATGAGGATTAAGGATAAGCTGACCTGCTCCTCCTCAAATATTATATACATGATTACATGTAGGAGAGGAGGCCGAGTTTGTCCTTCCCATCCTCAATATATAGGAGAGACAGGGAAGGAGGCTAAAGAAAGGCTGAGGGGTCACAGAGGCACCATTACACAGCTAGGACAAGAAAATACCCAGGCCCCTGTAGGTGTACACTTTCGTGCCCCTGGCCACTCATATGCAGATTTATCCTTCATTCCCATAGAGAAGATCAGGTCCAGGGATAGCATGGTCAGGAAGGTCAGGGAGTCGTACTACATCCAGAAATTTGACTCAGTGAGGTCAGGACTGAACAAGAAAACATAATGCTAATTGCAATCTTTTTTAAAAAATAAATTTTGTTTGTTTTAAACTGTATGTATATGTATTACCAACAGTACCTTATAGTGTTGATCGAATTCATGTATTTGACCGTTTTGTCGACGAATTCTAACCCCTTCAACACTCCCCCCCCTTCCCCCACTGCATACGCCCATAAACTAGTCAATCCTTTCCCAGTCATTCAATACTCTTCAAAAGAGTAAGGTACGGTTTTCTAATTTTTCTTTTAAGTTTTATGTGTTCTGACATTATTCATTTTGAAAAATTCCATTTTAAATAAAAAAGATTTTTATTTTTGTTCTCTTCTGTATTTATTATAGTTGCTGTGTTTGTATTTTTTATTTTTATTTTTTGCTTATATCTGTTATATTATAGGACTAACTCCTGATGATGCCAAAGTTTTTGGCGAAATATATTGAGAAGAAAATGATATAATTCTAGTGCTAGAGAGTAGGGTTGGGATTTGTTTAAAAACGATCTAAAAATATTTGACAAATCCATACAAGAAATTTTTAAAAAGTTTAGATATCCTTCCAACCATATTTTTTCTTCTGTAAAGCCGTTTGTTATTGACTGGAACTATGCGGTCAAGTTGCTCAATATTTGTTTTCAAGTTTATCGAGATGAGAATAGTTCTCTGGTCAGATCCAAGAAATTCTCACCGCCTCCAGGAACACCTATCGGCGGTTGCCAAACTTAAATCTGGAGTAGTTCCATGGCGTAATGTTGAAAGTCCTTTAAGATTTAGAAACACAATCTAAAACAAAGCAACAATAATAACTATTTATTAAATTATTAATAATTATTAATTATATATATACTTTGCTTGGAAACAAATAAGTAATGCGCAGAAAAATGTTAAAATAGTTGGTTACCTTATTTTAGCAAACAAAATACATCAGGGATCCGTTCCTTTGTATTGTATCCCCACCAAGGAGATTTACTGTTAAAATCCCCTGAACAAAATAAATTAACATTTTATATTTAAGCCTGGGAGAAATACTATCAAAGAGGAATAAAATTACTCATTATATCTGCCTAAGATGCCAAGTTTCACAACGTAGAAGTTGTGACTTCATGTAAAAACAAATCTTTTTATGTTTCCAAATAGTATCAACAATCGTATAGTTTTTAATGATTTTAATCCGGAAAATGCCCCAAGTTCACTACATGTTCCAAAACGGGTCTTATGCCCAAAGTGAAAATTTGCTTCGAAAAAAAGTGAAATAATAATTTTCAGTAAAAAAATATATTCATTTCTAGTGGACAAATGTTCAATCCTTTGGTATAAAAATGTAGCCGTGACTATTTTATATTAGTATGCGGATGGGTTCTGAAAAATCTTTTTAGACTTAAAAATTGAAACACCAAAGTCCAAAACTGAAAAACGAAAAGTTATAGATTAAATTTAAAGTTTCAGCGTAAATTGACTGCACATCTAGCTTTCAAAGCAGCAACAGCTGGCTCTGGCTCGTATATCCCCCGTATACACCCCTGAACACAAATAAAAAAGAAATAAACGAAATAAACAAGAAACATTGAAGGCCTGCATTAATCTTTAAAGCTTTATTAGCCTGGAGAATGGAGGTTTTTAGCTTGCTGGATCCAGATATTGCTACTAGCAGCTTTAAAGCTTTATAACCTGGAGAATGGAGGTTTTTAGCTTGCTGGATCCAGATTTTGCTACTAGCAGCTTTAAAGCTTTATAACCTGGAGAATGGAGGTTTTTAGCTAGCTGGATCCAGATTTTGCTACTAGCAGCTTTAAAGCTTTTTTATAACCTGGAGAATGGAGGTTTTTAGCTTGCTGGATCCAGATTTTGCTACTAGCAGCTTTAAATCTACTCCTTAATAACAAGTCTGGTTAGCTGTTATTAAGTATCCGAACTCATCAGACAGACCTTAATTCTTTCGATTGAATCTGGTTCTATGTGTAAACATCAAGGGAGCTCAGAATGGTCAGGTTCTTATGCAACTCTCTCCAGTTTCTTGTGGCTGAACAGAACCCTATGTGTAATCACATGGCAGTACACCCTACTTGAAAAAAAGAAGAGAATTATAGTGCAGAGTAGAAGGGGTTTCGCTCCCTATCTCTTGCCCTTCCCTCTTGCCAGAAACACGGAAAATGGAAACATAGAAAGTAAATCCTGATGGGTTGTGCATAATGCACTATGATACCGATTTATACTCTGCCGGCTGCAAGGGAAAGATTGCTGTAGACGAGGCCATAATCTAAAGCACTGTTTCCCAGATGAACTTACAAGAATCAAGAATTCTTTTGTCGAAAATATCCACTCCCAGCCTAACCTTTCTTATCCCATTTGTCATTTTTAAGGCGGAATTCTGACAATGGAAATCCTCAGAATTTTCAAACCCCGCTTAGTGACTTTTATCTTTCCAACCTGTAAGAATATTGAGGAAATTGTGTTTGAGGCTAACCTTCAACAGTTGTTGAATCACATTATTAAAAATTGTAAATACATCTGATATCTACTCACAAACAGTAACTTTCTATCATACTTAATTTGATATTGCTGGCGCCGGGATATCAAATCAAGACATCAATAGTATGAATCAGAAATATGTGTCAAAATTCATTTTCCCTTGTCTACAACAGACTAGAATGCGTAGATCTAAAAGAGAAGAACAGAAAACAGATGTATGATCAGATAAAAACAAGATAAACAATCGGAGAAATAAATTCACTACTCTTTTTAAATTTTGTTTTAAAAAATTGTTAAATTTTTTTTTTTTTCAGAGTAAATGCTGTTTAAGCTTTATCTTGAAACTTGCGCATTCTTTAGTTTTAGGCTCTTAACTTTAAAAAAAAAACTTTGTTGCTTTGGCCAAACCTACTATTTTGACTACTATTTTTAAGGAGACACTCTTTAAAATTCTGTTTATAAAGTTCAAATAAAAAATCTGCAATGCATACTCCCGTTTGAATGTTTTACCTTGAACAGTACATATCTCGTCTACTAATCTTTTCAGTCTTGTAGAATCAGCTCCATCCATACTCCAAATATTGAAGATGTTCTCTATCTCATCAATCCATCTCAGCAAAGTTGTACTTGATACTCTCAATGACATCTTATCATTCATAGTTAAATGCTTGAGCACAACGATCAGATCATACTCCACCATGCGCTCCAAGCTAGACAACCTGTTCTCCATTCCCTCAGAGATATAATACTATGATTTAAATAAAAATCACTAAATAGATATTTAATTTTAGTCGAGGAATACAAGAGAAAATACTCGATGTATTAACAGTTATCAATCTTCAATCTGTTTAGTGTCCCCTGCTATGATGCTCAGTGTCTCCATGAGCCCTGAATCAGTCAGCTGTTTACACAATAACAGTTTAAAGTTCTCCAACATAGGAATTGAATCCAACTCCTGGTATACTTGTCCAGGATACACATCCAACTCCGAGTTTACTCCCGGATAAATCCACCTTCTCGTGTTTGTGTACATTGTATGTAAGGCAAGCAAGACTAATCCGGGTCCCGACAATAACAAATTTTGCTAATTCGGGTTCCACTTACCTCTGCCCCTTTAGTAAAAGTAAATTCAACCTATATGAAGTATAAAGTCTAACCACTGTGGGACATTTTCCACTCTAAGTTTCAGTTTTGTTCGTGTGGAAAATATCCCCCAGTTGAACCTGGCTAGAACTATCACTAGAATAGAATACAATATAACAGAAACTACAAAAAAAAAGGTTTCAGAAGTAAGTCCCAAGAAACCAAAACGAGGAATTATTTTTTAAGTGATTTGAGGAAAATTTGACAATTTTCACCAAGTTTTTCCCCAGAAACATTTTTTCGGGACTTTCTCAAAGGATTTGGATCTGATTTAAAAGTACTGGATAAGATAGAACCTGCTTTCTGTGAAATCAAGGTCGTAAACATCCTTCTTCTGTGTACTCAGTTGCCTAGGAGGAGTTGAACAATCCTTCCTTGGAGTAGAATAATCCTTGGTTTGGGAACCATCCTTCCTTGGAGTAGAATAATCCTTGGTTTGGGAACCATCCTTCCTTGGAGTAGAACAATCCTTGGTTTGGGAACCATCCTTCCTTGGAGTAGAATATTCCTTGGTTTGGGAACCATTTAGACGTACTGAATATCTCCAGGTTTAGATTATACCTAATTAATATCTCCAAGTTCAGATTATCGACCTGCTAAATATCTCCAGGTTAAATTAGATTTGCTAAATGGAATATGAAATTGAAGATATATCTTGTTCTTATCCCGTCCCATCCTAATCCTACTCGAGTGAACTTGGCGTCCTTCATCCTCTTCTCAGCATTTAAATCTCCATTACATTCCATTACATTCATTCTAATAATCTGAAGTAAACACAGTTTTATCATAATGAAAATGGCTAAAAAATCACAAAAGCGGAAGAGAAAAATTATTATTAGAATTTATATAATTTAATTAAAACAGAAGATAAATCCGTAGATTTATAAGAATACACTGAACAGGTTCAGAAGAGATGGATATTTTATACAAATATTAAAGGCAATTTTGTCAGAATATTACTTAACCATCATTTTTAATTTAGCAAAAATTTCAAAAGTATGATGAGATTAAGATGTTAAATTAATAATTTTTAGTGAATTTTCAAAATATAGGTCTGATAGGTAATATATATCTAAAACATTATGTCAAAATTAGCACAATACATTTACAATTAAATCATATTTCCCAAATTCTTTAAAGAATGTTATGTAACGAAACAATCAGGTTTAAATAAGTCCATATAGTGGATACTTTATCTAATCAGGAGAACTAAATTCAATTAGTAATCTTAACTTGATTTAGGAACATTTAAAAAAGATAGAATTAGGGATTAGGGATTAATTAGAGAATCTCAATAGATTAAGGGGATCTGGATATAATAAGGGATCATGGATAGAATAAGGGGATCTGGATATAATAAGAGGATCTGGATAGAATAAGGCATCATGGTAAGAATAAGGGATCTGGATAGAAAAAGTAGAACTGGATAGAAAAAGGGATTTGAAGAGAATAAAGGATCTTAGATAGAATAAGGGGATGTGGAAAGAATAAGGGGTCTGGAAAGAATAAGGGGGTCTGGAAAGAATAAGGGGATCTGGAAAGAATAAGGGATCTGGATAGAATAAGGGGTCTAAACAGAATAAGGGATCAGGATAGAATAAGGGATCATGTAAAGAGGAAGGGGATAATGTAAAGGAAAGTGGATCTAGAATTCTACTCCTCTGTACATCTATTCTAATTCACTCTCATCCGTTGTCCAGCCTAGAGCCACAGTTGTTTATTTAAGATACAGTGAGAACCAGAAGACTATGGAATAGGATGACGACTTTTAAGCAATAAAAAGTATATTTGGTATTGTTCAAAGCAAATAGTTTTACTAGTAACTTCTCTTATCACTTAATAACTAAAATGAGTCTGTTTACACTGTACAATTGGAGTGTCTCAGGTTCAATTGACTATTTAAAGTCATAACTTGAGTCTAAAAGTCGTCTTCTTATTCCAGAGTTTTGTAGTAAACATCTTCCGCTAACATTTGTTAATATGGTGTCCGGAATTCTTGGTTGAAAAAATAAAGACATCAAAAAATTAGAGTTTGTTGCAATCTATGAACAGTGAACCCCCAAAAAAACTGTGGAAAGGGAAGACGACTGTGATTCCAGTTATGGTTTTAGAAGTCCATTGAACATGAAACACCGCAATCATTTAATAACTTTATTTTCAAGTTAATTTTATCCCATACGCATAATATTTCTTTAGTCTCGAGCTTTATGTGTCTCATTGTACATATTCCATTTATAAAGACTACAGAAAGTTTGACCTCATTAAATAATAAAAAAAACTGTGTCCTGAAATCTTGTTAGCCTTGGAGGTCATGTCAGTAGTCGGACCAGTCTAATATAATAAGATAAGATTAGTCAGGTTCAATCAGTCGCTCAACTACCTTTATCTGGTTCAAATCTTGAATTACCGATTAGAATTACTAATCTAGGGTTTGAACCGGTGGTAGGTAATTCAGCGACCTCTCCGATTTATTCAATTCGGTCCTAAAGAGCGTTGAGATTCATTTCCATCTCAATAGTTAACTTTAAAACTTTGAATACAACAATTTCATTAGTTCCATATGAGAAGGATTCACCGAATAAATTTATTTTATATTTTTATTGTGACACCTTTTAGGGGCAGGTTGGTTAAAACAGACTTTGGTTAAACATTTTTATAGTGACGTTTCATTAATAGATTGGTTAACAAACTCTACCCTTTAAAACTTACGACTGATGGCAATGAATAAATGGTTTACTCTATAAATTAAATTTCAAATTGTGATTTAGCTGCAGAGTTAAATGAATTTGTAAGAATTAAATACTTTTAAAAATAGAAAATTACCATTGCAAGTTGGTTCTGCAATTGTATATTTAAATGGGTCTTCTCATTTCATTTCAAGGAGAATTCTAATGAATTTAAAAAAATGTATTCCTGTATAAATGAATTGAGCCTTTGCCACAAGCTCAAATTTTCCAATCCCGTTTCTTGACAACCTGATGGTGTAAACCTTTGTTTGCAAATATATTAGGGTAAAAATCAGATTTTGTGGCAAAAACTTCGTTCCTTTACCTTCTTATCATCCCCACTTCCTTCATGGGTTTCCATGTAGTTCACTTTCCTAAAAAGAAGTAAGTGTTTAGGATCAGTGCTTAGGATCAGTGTTTAGGATCAGTGCTTAAGATCAGCAATTAGGATCAGCGCTTAGGATCAGTGTTTAGGATCAGTACTTAAGATCAGCAATTAGGATCAGTGCTTAAGATCAGCAATTAGGATCAGTGCTTAGGATCAGTGTTTAGGATCAGTTCTTAGGATCAGTGTTTAGGATCAGTGCTTAAGATCAGTGCTTAGGATCAGTGCTTAGAATCAGAGCTTAGGATCAGTGCTTAGGATCAGCGCTTAGGATCAGTGCTTAGGATCAGTGCTTAGGATCAGTGTTTAGGATCAATTCTTAGGATCAGTGTTAAGGATCAGTGCTTAAGATCAGCGCTTAGGATCAGCAATTTGGATCAGCGCATAGGATCAGTGCTTAAGATCAACGCTTAGGATCAGTGCTTAAGAACAGCGCTTAGGATAAGTGCTTAGAATCAGCGCTAAGGATCAGCGCTTAGGATCAGCACTTGGATCAGTGCTTAGGATCAGTGCTTAAGATCAGTGCTCAGGATCAGCGCTAAGGATCAGTGCTTAGATTCAGCGCTTAGGATCAGTGCTTAGGATCAGTGTTTAGGATCAGTGCTTAGGATCAGCGCTTAGGATCAGCGCTTAGGATCAGTGCTTAGGATCAGCGCTTAGGATCAGTGCTCAGGATAAGTGCTTAGGATCAGTTCTTAGGATCAGTGTTTAGGATCAGTGCTTAGAACCAATGCTTAGGATCAGTTCTTAGGATCAGTGCTTAGAACCAGTGCTTAGGATCAGTTCTTAGGATCAGTGCTTAGGATCAGTGCTTAGAACCAATGCTCAGGATCAGTGTTTAGGATCAGTGCTTAAGATCAGCAATTAGGATCAGCGCTTAGGATCAGCGCTTATAATCAGCGCTTTGGATCAGTGCTTAGAATCAGGGCTTAGGATCAGCGCTTAGGACCAGTGCTTAGGATCAGTGCTTAGGTTAAGTGCTTAGGATCAGTGCTTAGGATCAGTGCTTAAGATCAGTGCTTAGGATCAGCGCTTAGGACCAGTGCTTAGGATCAGCGCTTCTTGGGTACGGATCCCGACTCTTACCGTTCTTTGGCTTGCAAAAGTGTTAAAGCTTCTTAGGTCCAGGTTTAGACGTATACTTACAATTATACGTTTAGACTTGAAAAGCTCAATGGGTCCGTATCCAGACTTTTAGTTTCTTGGATCAATATATTAGACTTAGTTCCTTGGATCCATATACCAGACTTTTATAGTTCCCTGGATCCGTATACCAGACTTTTATACTTCCTTGGATCCGTATACCAAACTTTTATAGTTCCTTAGATCAGTATACCAAAGTTTTAAAGTTCCTTGGATCCGTATACCAGACTTTTTATAGTTCCTTGGATCCGTATACTAGACTTTGAAAGTTCTTTGGATCCATATACCAGACTTTTATACTTCCTTGGATCTGTGTACCAGATTTTGAAAAATACAAAATAAATATTAAGACTACAACAATATTTTGTTATGACATGGTTTACCTGGTTGCTCCACCTCCTAGCCTTGTTAAAGGTGTTACGGATCTGGCATAAACTGGAGTTCGACGCATACCACTGGACAATAGAAATATATTAATAAATATTTGCTATTGAAGGGACTGCAAGTGTTATTTTCTTGCAAAAATTGCAATGCCCGAGATACAATGCTGTCGGACTTCTTCTCATTAATATCAATAACGCGTATAATTGTGGAAAACTTTGTTTGTAAGCTGTTATAAGTTGTAAAAATATCAATATTCACTTTCCAGAGTTGGTAGAAAAGGTTTAAAGGTACCGTAGACATTGCCCTCTTTATATGGAGGGTCACTTGAATAATGCTTACAGTCTCTTTAAATGTTTATCTATATAATAAAACAAGACATTCGTATATATATATATATGTTGCGTATAGCCAAACGGCTGGAGCGATTGGGCTGAAATTTTTTGTGGACGCTAAAATTTTTGTCAACATTTTTTTCTTCTTTTTTACACGGGCAACGCCGAGCCCTTCATTTAGTATTCTATATCATGCGGAGTCAGATTCAAGAACATAACTTTTAAAAAATAGATGTAACTTTAATTCTATTCAAGTTTGAGAATTTCCTTCTTTAAAAGGAATTGAGTCTTTGCCACAAACTCAAATTTTCAAATCCCTATATTTTTGCAATCTGATAGTGTAACCCTTTGATATTTCAAACTTAGAATTTTTGATCTAACATAATTCAAAGTTTTAAATATCTAAGGTCTACAACAATGGGGTGTAAAGAAATAAGGATTAGAAAATCAGAGTTTGTGGCAAAGACTCAATTCCTTTACGGAACTTTCAAACTGTTTTATGTCTGATGTCACAATGTGATACACAGAATCTAGATATAGGAGTATCTACCAAAATATAATACCTAGGGTCGGAGTATCTACCAAAATATAATACCTAGGGTCGGAGTATCTACCAAAATATAATACCTAGGGTCGGAGTCTCTACCAAAATATAATACCTAGGGTCGGAGTATCTACCAAAATATAATACCTAGGGTCGGAGTATCTACCAAAATATATTACCTCGGGTCGGAGTCTCTACCAAAATATAATACCTGGGGTCGGAGTATCTACCAAAATATAATACCTAGGGTCGGAGTATCTACCAAAATATAATACCTAGGGTTGGAGTATCTACCAAAATATAATACTTAGGGTTGGAGTATCTACAAAAATATAATACCTAGGGTCGGAGTATCTACCAAAACATAATACCTAGGGTCGGAGTATCTACCAAAATATAATACCTGGGGTCGGAGTATCTACAAAAATATAATACCTAGGGTCGGGGTATCTACCAAAATATAATACCTAGGGTCGGAGTATCTACCAAAATATATTACCTCGGGTCGGAGTATCTACCAAAATATAATACCTGGGGTCGGAGTATCTACCAAAATATAATACCTAGGGTCGGAGTATCTACCAAAATATAATACCTAGGGTCGGAGTATCTACCAAAATATAATACCTAGGGTCGGAGTATCTACCAAAATATAATACCTAGGGTCGGAGTATCTACCAAGATTAGAAATCCTTGTAGTCGGAGTAGTCAAACTCTGTACTCTAGGCTGACTCCTTGAAACCAAGTCCTAGGCCCAGGTGTTCATCTAGAGATCTTGTGGCACTTGTGGCAAGTGTATTATGTAAAGAGTAAGACTTAACTTTGTGGATCATTTTAATCATGTTCTAAGATACTATTTGTGGCAGGTTATGTGTCCAAGGACAAGGCACCAATTGTGGCATATTTTAAGCGTCTAAATGTGTGATGAGTGTACTTTTAAGTACACTGTACAGTGCAAACAGTAATCTGTACAATGTTCACCCAGTTAAATCCTAGATGAACACCTTCCTTAGTTTCAGTTTTTTTCGTGTGGAAAATATCCCCCAGTTGAACCGGACTAGAACTATCACTAGAATAGAATACAATATAACAGTTACTACCAAAAAAAAGTTTCAGAAGTAAGTCCCAAGAAACCAAAACGAGGAATTATTTTCTAAGTGATATTTTGAGGAAAATTAGACAATTTTCGCCAATTTTTTCCCAAGAAACATTTTTTCGTGACTTTCTTAGAGGATTTAGATCTGGATAAGATAGAACCTGCTTTCTGTGAAATCAAGGTCGTAAACATCCTTCTTCTTTGTACTCAGTTGCCTAGGAGGAGTTGAACAATCCTTCCTAGGAGTAGAATAATCCTTCGTTTGAGGACCATCCTTCCTTGGAGTAGAATAATTTTTGGTTTGGGAACCATCCTTCCTTGGAGTAGAATAATCCTTGGTTTGGGAACCATCCTTCCTTGGAGTAGAACAATCCTTGGTTTGGGAACCATCCTTCCTTAGAGTAGAATAATCCTTGGTTTGGGAACCATCCTTCCTCGGATTAGAATAATCCTTGGTTTGGGAAAGGTTTCTGGTTTGGGCGTATGGCGACTCCTTTCTCTGGATTGTAAGATTCTCCAACTGTAATGTAAACATACAGGGTTACCCACAAAAGAATGAGACTTTTATGAAGGACGACTTGAAAAACTTTTAATCCAACGAATTAAAAGATTTAATTTGATTTTCTGTAACGATTTAAGTCTATTGAAGATGTATTTGATAATTTTGTAAAGAATGAAAACAAGTTTAAAATAAATTCTGTACAATCGACTGTTAATTCTCTCTTAGAGGATAAGGGTTTTTAAAAGAAAGGCAAACTGTATTTTTTCTTAATTCTAACCTTAGCCATGAGGATTTCAGTTTCCTTCAAGATTTGGTTTACAACGGAACCCTTGCTCTGAGTGTTCTCATTGATTGATTTTATCTCTTCAGCCTTCTCCTTGAGCATAGTTTCCTTATCTTTTATCTTCTCCGTGAGGTCGGATATCTCAACCTCTAGCTGCTCTTTGTTCTAGAAATATACAGTACAGTAGGCATATATACTAATACAGGGCTGACAACAAACTATTACTGCTTTCTAATCAGCTTATATAAAAAAGACACAAAAGTGACAAAAAATGTAATGTCATTAAATTTCATGGGCCATGAAGAATTAGCGATACGTTTATTGGTATAAATTGTGTTTGGTTTCCGTCTGTATAATTGCAGCTAGATAGATTTGAACCACTAAGAAGTATGAATCTTGATTTTAAAGAAGAAAATGAGTTCTTGCCACAAACTTTAATTTTTAAATCCTTATATTTGTGCAACCCGATGTCGTGGACATTTCATATTTCATGCATTGTTCTATTAGATCAAGAAGTTAAAGTTTTAAATATCAAATGTTTCCACCATTAGGTTTCAAAGAAAATTTTGTTTGTGGCAAAAACTAAATATAAATAAATTTTATTTCTGAACTCGGGATCACCTTTCTGCTAACTTCTTCCTTCTGACGAATAGATATCATTATCCTGGCTCTCTCCTCTCTATCCTCCTCCTCAACTCTACTCAACTCCTCCCTCTTCTCCAGTTCAACCTTCTCGTTCTCCTTTATCTTCTCCTGTAGTTCTCCAACCACAGTATCCAGCTGGGAAGTTTCAACCTCAACCTTCTCCAACCTCTTCCTTAACTCCTTCTGGGATTCACGTTGTTGTAATAAACTTTGAGTTTTCTGTTCTGCAATTTTTTTCTCCTGGAATGCGTCCTGGATACTAGTCTCCAGGTAGATCAAGTCCTCTGTATATTTCTCCAGTTGGATTCGAACCTTCACCTCTCTTCTCTCCTCAGCAACCATAGTTTCCGTATTCTTTTTCTTCAACTCCTCTAGCTTTCTAGATTTCTTTTGAACCTCTTGTATTCTTCTTTGGTTTTCTAAAACCAAACTTCTCTTCCTCTTTAGTTCCTCCGTTAGTGTGAATAAAATACCCTGCATGGAGTGAACCCGTCCGCTCTCTGCAGTTCTATACTTAGATCGGTTCTTCACAAAATCTTTCAATCCTTGGATCTCATCTGATTTTTGTTTCAGAGCTGTTTCTCCGTCACTCCTAATCTTAGCTAACCTTTCTCTTAGCAGCTCATTCTTCTTCATTGTTTCCGTCCTACTTTGAACCATGATCTTCATTTCCTTCTCCACTTTGTTCCTCTCCTTATTCACTGCCTCCAGTTTCTCATCTATCACAGCAATATCAGATTGCAGGAGAAGGTTGGTCTCTCTGGCCTTCTTTATCCTAGAAACATAACTAGCAATTTCTGCCTCACGTTCAGAGGATCTCTCCAACTCCTGTCTTATTCCATCCTCCATGGCCTAAAAAGCAAATGAAAGAGATTGTTTCCGTTTTAAGAATGAACTCTTAAAATAAAGAGAGACATTAATAATTCCCCCATGGCACCATCTTAACCCAATTTATCTGGGACATGGAGATATTTAAAACCTATAACATGAAAATACGACTCCTTAGAGATTTCTACATCACACAGAATGTAAAAAAATTCAAATTTTAGTAGTTACTGATTTAAACAATTTAGATTGAAGCTGTGGCTTAGTTGGTGGACAATCCCTTGACATGAAACCTTAACTACATCCTTGTCCGTTTCGGATTTTCTTCCCCTCAAATTTTGATATCTCATTCAAAATCCGTCAAAAATAGCGTTAGAGATTTGAAAAGCTTATATATCAAAAACAGTAAAACAAAAAACGGGTGAAAATGTGGTTTAAATATAAAACTCACTCACTCGACTTTTATTCAGGATCCCAATAGTTTAACGTGCTTATATTGATGGGCAACTTTTTGAGACCCGTTTTTAAACATTCAAAGTGTTCAGGCTTTTTAAAGGATTCACAACAATCTGAGATGCAACTTCTATTTTTAAATTGCATCCTAGACAAGGATGCTTTTATTTCACAAAGCAAACATCAAAGATATTAACCAAACGATTTTTCAAAACGAAAAACAAAACGATTTTCTAATCGTATGAAAAATCGTTTAGGATAAGATCTTTATTCAGAGTAAAAAAATTACTGTTTGCAATAAAAGCAAACTTGTCTAGCACACAATTTTGAAATAGGATTTGCATCTCAGATCCTCGTGAAGCCTTAAAAAGCCTAAAAACTTTGAATGTTTAAAAAACGTGCCTAAAAACGACTCCCAAGTAAGATATAAATACATGAACTCAGAATTCTCCATGTCTAAGAGCATATCTGGGGTTTACCTGTTTTCCTTTCTTTAACTCATCTTCAGCCTGGGTTTCGTAAGTTTCGTAAGTTTCGCGGGTTTCATAAATCTGTTTTTCTAGATCCAGAACTCTGGTGTTCAGCTCCAGCTTCTCCTTCCTAACCCTGCTCAGGTTCCGGACCTGGTTCTTCAGATCCTTGTTCCTGAACAATATCGGAGAATTAATGTTAACCCTCCATTTTTGGAGTGACATATTTGATTCACAATGATACCATTGGAACCTGTGAATAAGATATCTCCGTTCTTAACTCTGAAAATTGATTATTTTCAATTTATAGTTTCTCTATAAAAGTCATGACTTGCGTTACAGAAATGATGGGAAAAATATCAAGATTAAGCACTATTTAGAAAAGAAAAACAAATTGTAGAATCTGATGTTTCTCACCTTTCTTCGGAAGCTGAGAGCTCCGAGTTTGCAATCTTATATTCTTCCTTCAGTTTTTCCAACTCCGCCATCTTCACCTGCAGAAGGTTGTTGTCCTCCCTCACCTCCTCAACATCCTTCAACAACATCTTGGACTTTGTCGACAAGAAGTTGTTCAGATTAATCAAATCTTCGTTGGATTTTATTAAACCCGCCTTTTCCTGGGTTAGTTGATCAATACTAGAGAGGATATCCTGGATATCTAGTTTTTCACGAACATGAGAATTTTCAAGGTCGGATATTTCAGCATTAAGAGAACCTATATCAGACTTCAGCTCCTCAACCCTAATGGAGACAAGATTTAGTTCTTTTTCGGAGATGTCTTCACTATCCTTCTTCTTCTTGTTCTCCATGTTCAAAGCTTCCTTCAGCTTGATGATGATATTCTCTTTTCCGAATAGGATTTGAGACTTTTCCAGCAGATCCTGTCCGATCAGGTTCACTTTCTCCTCCAGGGTTTTAACCTTGTCATGAGTAAGGTTTAGTTTCTCCTTGAGCGCCCCGATCCGTCCCACCAAGGTTTCTGTAGATTTCTGTTTCTCCGTCTCCAAGAGATTAATCCTTGATCTAATCTCACCGATCTACAAAATAATTTTTAAAGAAATCTTATAGAGCATTATTTCTAGAGTTTGAATGTATATGAAAAAAGCACTTTGCTCATATCTTTATATTGTATATGTGTTTATAGCTATAGCAGGTTAAACGGCTGGACCAAATAGCTGACATTTTTTAGGGAGCCAGTGGTAACCCCCCCCCCCCAGTTGACATAGGTTAAAAATTTCAAATTTGTTATTAAACTTGCGCTGGCAACGCCGTGCACTTAAGAGGATGATAAATATGTGTTCTTTCTTCATGATTGCTTCCAGGTGAATTTTGAGATACCAATATTTCGATTGATTCATCATACTTCACATTTCCAAATTTTTATTCTAAATTCATTAGGATTTAACACGTAATTTTAATGATCTTTCACATTATTGATCAGATAAAGGTCTAAATGGTATTGTTGTATTTAAATTAAGATTTACATTCTATGACAGTCCCATTAAGGTTTAATTTTTTTTTACCTTTTCATCATGGTTATTATTGAGATTCTGAAACCTATAACTTAGATCAGTCAGACTATTCTCAACCAACCCCATCTCCTTCTGCTTGTTGGATCCGTCCACCTTACTCCTGTTGAGCTGGTTGGTGAACAGCTCCAGCTGAGCAGAGTGTACCTCGAGCTCCCCCCGAGTGTAGATAACTTGATGGTAGAGTTGATCCTTCTCCACCTCCAGGTTTATCAATCTTTCATTCAACTCCGCCTTCTCCCCCTCCAACTTAAGCAGCAGATCACGTTGACGTTCAGCCAATCCTGACCAATTATAGGTTAATCCTGATCAATTATAGGTTAATCCTGATCAATTATAAGTTAATCCTTATCAATTATAGGTTAATCCTGATCAATTATAGGTTATTTCTGATCAATTACAGGTTATTTCTGATCAAATACAGGTTATTTCTGATCAATTACAGGTTATTTCTGATCAATTATATGTTAATCCTGATCAATTATAGGTTAATCCTGATCAATTATAGGTTAATCCTGATCAATTATAGGTTAATCCTGATCAATTATAGGTTATTCCAGATACATTACATGTTAATTGCTTTATACTTGTACTGTTAATATAATCATCAATTTGTAATTGTAAACTCGTTCTGTATACAGATACATGTATTTTAGCAATAAACTTTATCTTATCTTAATCCTGAACAATTATAGGTTAATCCTGATCAATAATAGGTTAATCATGATCAAGTATAGGTTATTCCTTATCAATTATAGATTAATCCAGGTCAATTATAGGTTATTATTGATCATTTATAGATTATTCCTGATCAAATGTAGATTAATCCTGTTCAAATACGGTTAATACTGATCAAATAAGGGTTAGAACTGATCAAAAGTAGGTTAAAACTGATCAACCGTAGATTACTCCAAATTAATTATAGGTTAATATCGATCAAATACTTAAATAACTTAAACATTAAAACATTATTGTTAAGATACAGGGTGTCCCACGAAACATGACAATAGTAAGACGACTTGAAAGTCGTCTTTGGTATTTGAATTTATTTGTGACATTTAGTCTTCTATCTACTTTAACATGTATGATTCTTGAAACAATTATCACATAATTCTCCTAGCCCTGGCTTTTCCAAAAAATGGTCTGCGTTTTTTGTGATTTCAATATTACCGGAGATATAAAGAGTTTGGTTCAGATTTCAATTTTGTTAAATAAATGCAAAATTGTCGAAATCTGAACGAAATTCTTCATATCTCGGGCAATATTGAAAGCACAAAAAAGGCAGACCACATTTTGGAAATGGCAGGACAAGGGAAATTTTGTGATTGTTATCTCTAGAAATTTACTTCTAAAATTAGGTTGACAAATAAACGCAGCAAATTATATCAAAAATCAAGACGACATTCAAGTCGTCCTGCATACTGTCATGTTTCGTGGGACACCCTGTAGTTTCAGTTTAATTCTGGTCAATTTTAGACCTGCAAACAAACGAATTTCTTACCCAATGTTAAATCTTATTATCGTTTAAGTGCTTTAAAAGATCAATCTAATTTGGTTTTCTGATTAGAATAACGTTCTTTTGTAGGATATAGATGACTTAGTAAAAGAACTGTTTTGAGTTCAAAGGAAACATGAATTTCAATAATATAATGATTAAATTCCATACAGTCGTCTCTTAAATATTTTTCTTCATGGGTAACAACTCTGTATATGAAACAAATATAAAACATAATCTTCTTTACCTTCTGTCATCTTCTGCTTTCTTTCATATTCTTCTTTCCTCATATCTGTCTCCATCTTCCATCTTAAATATACAGTTAATATCTCCTTCCATCTTCCATCTTAAATATACAGTTAATATTCTCCTACCCTCTTCCATCTTGAATATACAGTTAATATTCTCCTACTATCTTCCATCTTAAATATATAGTTAATATTCTCCTACCCTCTTCTATCTTAATTATACAGTTAATATTCTCCTATCATCTTCCATCTTAAATATACAGTTAATATTCTCCTACCATCTTCCATCTTAAATATACAGTTAATATTCTCCTACCATCTTCATCTTAAATATACAGTTAATATTCTCCTTCCATCTTCCATCTTAACTGTACAGTTAATATTCTCCTACCCTCTTCAGTCTTAAATATACAGTCAATATTCTCCTACCCTCTTCCATCTTAAATATACAGTCAAAATTCTCCTTCAATCTTCCATCTTAACTGTACAGTTAATATTCTCCTACTATCTTCCATCTTAAATATACAGTTAATATTCTCCTACCATCTTCCATCTTAAATATACAGTTAATATTCTCCTACCATCTTCCATCTTAAATATACAGTTAATATTCTCCTACCATCTTCTATCTTAAATATACAGTTAATATTCTCCTACCATCTTCCATCTTAAATATACAGTCAATATTCTCCTACCCTCTTCAGTCTTAAATATATATTTGATATTCTTCTAAAACACTAACAGAATTGTATTCGGAGTATACCTGAGTGTACTATATACTCAAGACAGTGTAAGAAGTACTACGCATTAGTAGTTTATAATCTACTTCTTTAAGTACCCTGCAGAGGTGTTCTTAAGCTGTGATAATGTGTACTATATACTCGGGACTAGTGTGTAGTGTGTACTATACTTTAGTAGTTTACAATCACTCCTTGAAAATACCTTTCAGATACGTACGCAGATATGTACTCTGAGTGTACTAGAGTGTACTATAGACTATTTACTTACAACTAGTGTACTTTGTACTGTACCTCAGTAACTTAACCGTCTCCTCCTGAATAGTACCCTGCAGAGAAGTACTGGGAATGTCCTCGGTACAATTTGGCAACATTTTAATTTTCTTCCTAGGAAAGGGGAAAAAAAGTCTAATACACAAAAAAACTTTTCACATCCTAGAGGTGAAAGCGTGCACAGTAAATAGTATATTTACAAAAAAATCACATTGATTAACATTCCAACTGGTAATGATAAAAAAAATATGAAAATATTATAATTACACATACATGGAACAATAACATACATATAATATTTTCCGGTTTCGAGCTCTAAATCAGAGCCCTTACATTATGGTTCAACTCTTTCAAAACTTCTCTTGTTTTATTCTCCTTTGAATTCGAGCTTCTATTTGAGAGCCTTGATGATGGATTCTCCCCAGACATTGTTTCCGAGAAGGGAGTAATAGGTCGAGGAAACAGCCTGCAGTTCTGCCTTAATCGGTCCTCTACACAACAAATATGGAACTTTTTAGTCTCTTTTAAAGGAGTCAACGAAAGGGGATATATTTCACTATATTCATAATTTGGAAATTTAAAATTGGACTTAAAACTTTTTTCTCCGTTTTATATACTTTTAAATGTTTTTATTTTTATTTTCAGCAGTAAAGCCCTATTTACAAAGTACCCTAGAAATGTTGTCTGATAATGACTGTTATTTAAGTGACTTAAAGGGACTGTAAAGGAAAAATGAAAGGAGGTATAGGCTCGAAAACTAATCACATTAGCTCTTGATCGCGACCCCTTAATCTAATATCTGATGTTCCTGTCTCGAGGAATTGATAAAAAACTGACTATACGAAAATTCATATATATCTACAATTTTGCAAAGAAATGGTAGGTTTAAACAGTTCATATTCTGCAAATATGCAACCAATCTGAAAACGAAGATATTACAGAGAAACCTAATTATAATTAAGGTATTTTTTTATAATATTGATTTTTATTTTTTAATATTACTTTTAAGTCGGTAAGACGTCTTCAGACCTCCCACCAATAGTAGTGCAGAGTAAATTGGTCATGTGACAAAGACAGAGACACGTGACCAGTATACTGCACTCTCATTGGTGGGAGTTATGCTGCATATATATTTGAATTTTCGTATAAATTAGATACAGTTTTAGATCAATTTCTCGAGACAGGAACATCAGATATAAAATTCATGGGTCGCGATCAAGAGCTAAAGTGATAAGCTTTCAACCTTTACCCCCTTTCATTTTTCCTTCACAGTCCCTTTAAAGTGGTGGATAAATTTTTTAGGATTTATTTGATTTATAAAACGTTTTAATATTGTATAATTACGTAGTTTGAGCCCAAAGTCGACTTTCAAACCCATCCATTCGGTTGGTTACAGCAAGACAAGGAGGAAACCCCCGGACGCCATGAGCCTCCGCTATGCAGACACGAGCCTACCAGAGTTGCTAGACAGACCGAGCCTCCGCTTTGCAGAAATGAGCATGCGCAACACATCAAAATGTGCCTGTGGAATACAGGAGGTTTTTTTAAACTCGTGTTTTAAGTTTCAATAAATTTTTTGAAAATTTTAGACAGTGGCATGAGAGGCTTCTCAAAGATGATAAGTATTTCTTAATTATCATAAATAGTGCCTAATTATGACAAATAAAGTGGTATCTAAAACTTTTTTTACACGAAAAAGAAAATATTTAGAAAAAAATTTGAATTGAATTTCATTTCATCTTTTATAATCTTTGATTTTAGCGATACCTTTTTTTAAAGTTCAAATTGAATCTAAAAAATTTGTATTTATTATTTATTTTTAAAAAATGTATTGTTTGAATCAAAAATTACAAAACAAACCAAGTTTACTCCAGAATATTTCTCCAAATATCTTCCTTTTTGCGTAAGAAATGTTTAAAGTTTTAATATAAATCACTTTATTAGTCCATATATGTTCCTAATCATGACAATCAATGAACAACCCTAATCTTCAGTAAAATTCTTATGCCACTACGTCAAAAAAATTGTTAAAAGTTTTCATCACTCATAAAAACCAAGATTTTAAAAAAGCTGTGCTGTATGGTGGAGGCTCGTTTACTGCATAACGGAGGCACGGTCTGCATAGCGTAGGCTTTGTCTGCATAGTGGAGGCTCGGTCTGCCTAGCGAATCTGAGAGGCTCGATGTCTGCATAGCAGAGGCTCATGGCGTCCGGGGGTTCCCTCCCTAGCAAGACGTATTCATATGTGACCAGGCCTACCTGATCTTCTTACAGATGAGAAGACATATCTTGCATCCGGCAGGATTCAGAGCTGCCTGGATAAACAGGGGCCTAGACAAGGACAATATTAACTTCTTCAAAGACGACATTAACAACAGTAAAAAAAATTGATGAACAAGTTTACAACAAATTTCACATTTAGAAGATACTAGCTTAGTTTGATTTGAAAAACAGCGATTAAACATTAAAAGTTACAAGCTTGAAAACCCCGGTATTTTTTGGACCAAGAACATTCCAGAATTCATACAGAGTTTCCCAATTAAAGTTTAAGGTATATTGGCCAAGGGGTTCTCGAGTTATGACATACAAACAGAAAAAAAACAGACAACAACAGATTTCGCAATGGAGTGCTAAAAATGGTGATTATGCAACCATTAACATTCATTTGAAGTTCACTGGGTAGTGCAAATCATTTGTTACTAAAAATGGGAGAAATCAAGTTTCCCAAGATGACCTCTTATGTTACAAGATATTGTTAGGCATTTGTTACCTCAAAATGGGAGAAATCAAGTTTCCCAAAATGACCCCTTATGTTACAAGATATTGTTAGAATTACGAGAAGATTTGAATCTTCAAGGTGTAGAAGAACAACTGAGAGAGACTGCATAGAATACAGTCATTTATCCAAGCTTGATTATTTAAATAAATTGAATGAGTTTAACACATTCTCTTCTACCAAACATATCTTTGAAATGGACCAATAAAGTTGAACTCCAGGAGAACTGAGATTAACTCATTCCGACCATCCAAGTTTCTAGCTCTGAATGAAAATATACCTAGAATCCCCGTCTCCAATGATGCCAACAGATGGTCCTTCTCCCGCAGATCCAAGTCTATAAATATCTATTATGTTGAGGAACGGAAAATCGAATTAAATAAATGTTTTCTATAATCTTCCTTAGCAAGTTAAAATAAGTAATTTTTAATTACCTATAATATGATCAAGTTATTTAGGACATTTTTAATGACCTATAATATGATCAAGTTATTTGGAACATTTTTAATGACCTATAATATGATCAAGTTATTGAAACATTTTTAATGACCTATAATATGATCAAGTTATTTGGAACATTTTTAATGACCTATAATATGATCAAGTTATTTGGAACATTTTTAATGACCTATAATATGATCAAGTTATTTGGAACATTTTTAATGACCTATAATATGATCAAGTTATTTGGAACATTTTTAATGACCTATAATATGATCAAGTTATTTGGAACATTTTTAATGACCTATAATATGATCAAGTTATTTGGAACATTTTTAATGACCTATAATATGATCAAGTTATTTGGAACATTTTTAATGACCTATAATATGATCAAGTTATTTGGAACATTTTTAATGACTTATAATATGATCAAGTTATTTGGAACATTTTTAATGACCTAAAATAAGATCAAGTTATTTGGAACATTTTTAATGACCTATAATATGATCAAGTTATTTGGAACATTTTTAATGACCTATAATGTTATCAAGTTATTTGGAACATTTTTAATCACCTATAATATGATCAAGTTATTTGGGACATTTTTAATCACCTATAATATGATCAAGTTATTTGGGACATTTTTAATCACCTATAATATGATCAAGTTATTTGGAACATTTTTGATCACCTATAATAAGATCATCAGAAAATGTTTTAAATATACCTAATGCAGCTGTCTGGGGATATAAAGCTACGGATGAAATTTATCAGAAGGCTTCCCATTATTCCTCTCTTCGCAGACGAATTCTCAACACTAAACATTATTATTATTAACAATCAGCACACAGGCAAAGTAAATGACTTAAGTGACTGAGTTAAAAAATATTTTTAAAATGGATCAACACACTTGAATGATATTGAGTGGTGTTCATTTTTATTTAATAATTCAAGTTGGAAAATGCATATAGCTGGTAAAGCCCAAAAAAATTAACTTGTTCAAAATAAGAAATTAGGAAAAACGTTATTTCTCTGGAAAAGTAAAATTTACTTACGCAAGGAATGCCTGTTCTAGAATAACTAAGCCAGTATAAACTGCTTCTGTTCTTGGGTAGATGGCACTGCATTCACCAAATATCAATCAATATTAATCTTTGTATTGCTATTATTCAATAATTACTAATGCTAAGATTGAAAGGAATCTGATTATGCTAGATTTCTTTTTATCAGGGGATTGTTCTTGAAGAAAAACAAATATTAAAAATTGGACACCAACAAGGAATTTACACATTCAAAGGGACTGTAAGTGTAATCTCAAGTGTGGAATGCCCGATTTTCAATGGTACCCTCATAAGTATGATTAAGTATGAATTAGAAAATAGACATGGATGTTTTTGTTTGTTAAAACTGTTAGATTTCATGTGTGGTTTCTCTGCAAAAGTCACTTGAGCATTTCTTGCTTATAAGTAACAATGGAGAATTCACAGAATTAACACTTTTTAAGTCAGAAAATCTATGTTATCTTCCACATTTATAATCAGATTAAGGTTATAATGATACCGTTGTAAATCGAGCATTGGTTATCTTTGCATCGAGGGTCAGTTAAAATTACGCTTCTGCATTCCCTTTAATTTTACTTTTATCCAAAATTTCAATCTTTTTCCCCAAAACTAATTTGTTTTCCACCATAAATATTTTGGATGATAAATATGGTTCCTAATATTGTCTGAGAACCAGGCAAATGCCTTCTCTAGTACAGTGTCTGGGTCCAGCTCAACTACCAACTAAACAGTAAAAAAATTAGATTTACAAATAATTTTGACATAATTATTTTAGTCGTTAAAATTTAGCTTTAAACCTACCAAATATTGAACTTATTTAAGTAATTGGTAACTGTACCTAACCCAAATCTTGTTTACTTGAAAAATCTTGCCTTCTTGATAAATCTTAATTTCTATTAATAACTTTATTTTTAAATCTTTATTTTTATTTTAAGGAACTTGATTTCTTGAAAAATATCAATTTACCTGAACCACTCTTGATCCGTTCTTGTTGAATCCGAGGAGAAAGATATTATTGATCACACATTTGATCAGAAGGTTAGCATCTTTGAACCCCTAAAGATAAAACCCTTAAAGGGACAGTAAAGGAAAAATGAAAGGGGGTATAGGCTGAAAGCTAATCACTTTAGCTCTTGATCACGACCCATGAAAGTTTTATCTGATGTTTCTGTCTCGAGAAACTGATATAAAACTGTGTTAAAATTATACGAAAATTCATATATGTAAAAGACTAAGAAATTTTGAGTTTGAAAAGTTCTTTTTCTAAAGCTTATGTCTGGATCTGTAATTTTCCCGGTTAAAAAAAACATTAAATTGATTACACGATCATTTTTGCGAGGAAGTACCGCCCCTATTTTCCTATTTAATCTGTATGTATTGTGTACTGTACAGCTTGCTCTAGGTGCTTTATAGTCAGCCCTGTACTTAAGATGAACAGTAGTTTACAGTTAACACCACATCCATTGCTCAATGTTAATTACCAAAGCTATACATTGAGGGAATTTACCTTTTTCATCATGAAGGGAATGAGCTGTTGCATGAAGAAGGTGCTGTTCTCCCCGTTCCCAAGCTCCACTAGGGAGGGGAGGATACTGGCCACCAGGTAGGATATTGTATTCTTCTCTATACACGTAGTGTTCAGACAGGCCTGCAGAATTAATATTAGTTTCAAGACTTAATAAAAATGGATTTTATAACAGGATGAAGAAAAATATCAATTTTCAAAATTACAGATAAAATTAGAGTGATCTCCATCACAAGGTTAAGAAAAACTGAGAAATAGCGTAAACGGAACTGAGCAGTCAATTGACATATGGCTGCTCCTAATCTTTCTAACAGCATAAAATAAGCTAAACAAAAGATTGAAAACTTCATCATTTCAACCTTTTATCAAGAGAAGTTTAGATACATGAAACAATGCGTTTTGTCAATGAATTTAAGATTTAAGTTACATTAGTTGTTGTGGGGAAGACCAATGAAAATTGAACATCAATAAAAAAGACAAGTTTTACATTCTTTTTAAATACTTTTTACCTAAATAATCCTTTATTTTCCCTAAAAATCATGAATTTCCCTAAAAATTGTCTATTATTTGTTTTTCCATCAAATCATTTATTTTCTTTAAGAATCATTTATTTTTTCCCAATTCAGCGAATAAAAACCATACTTAACTTCCGGGGAAAAAGATGGATTTTTAACAAAAAAATTTAAATCTAATATTTTCCTGAGCAACATGAGTGCTGTTACAGTCGGAGAGAAAACTTGGAATGTTCTTCACTGTCTCCAGTCCCTTAATTAACTCCTGAACAAACATAAATCCATTCCTGTACAAGCATAATTCCATTCCTAAACAAGCTTAATTCCCTTCCTGAACAAGCATAATTCCATTCCTTAAAAAGTATAATTCCATTCCTGTACAAGCATATCAAGTCCTGAACAAGCATAATTCCATTCCTGAACAAACATGAATCAACTCCTGAATGAAGCATAATTCCATTACTCAACAAGTCACTAAGAATTCCGTCTCCTGTCCATTTAACACAAAAGCACAATTCTTTATCCCAAATTGTACATTGTAAATTGAAATTTCTAATATCAATTAACTTATCCTACCTTAACAACATCCTGATGGGGAAGAGAGAGAAGAACTTGTAGAACTCTAGTCCCGCACTTGTTCTTGGCTATCACCGTGAAGTTGGGGACCAAAATACGAACCAGTTTGAACAAGTCCTGGACGGATAGGTATTTGACCAGGGTCTGAACCAGGTAGGTGGACCGAGGATGGTTAATATAGAATATCGCACTGGAGAGAACAAGATCAAATATTTCCTTGATCTTCGGTGAATTCGGGTTCTCCTTGATGTGAACCTGGAGCATGGTAGAACCTGATAGAGTTTTCATCGCAGAGCTCAGATCACTGCTAATCAGATTTTCATGCATAACCTAGGGTTATGATGAAATTAAACTTTAAATCAATTAATTCCTGAAAATGCTAAGATATGATCCCTAAAAAAAGAGGAGATACTTGGTAACCAGAAGGTCAACTTTCAATTTTTCTAGAAGTTTTCATTATTCATTAAAAAGGAATTATTGCTTACAATTGTCTTGACATCTCAATAAATCTCAATATTGAAACTAGTGATGATACAAAGCTTAGTTTGTTTTTAAAAACTATTCAAGAGTTTCCACACAAAAAAACTCAAGTTTAATACGGCTAACTTATAAAAAATACAATAATGAAATACCGGAAGGTAAAGGATTTGTGTGGTGCCTTTAAATATTCCGAAAATGAACAAATACTTAAACTAGCGCACATATTTAAACCTCCCCCCCAGCCCCCTTCCTAATGATAATGACCTGAGATGTTGGGCTGATATAGAAGTTATCCTGGTTAAATGACGGGGTCGAGGGCTCCTCAGGGGCGAGAGGATGAGTAAACGGGCTGGGATGAGCTCCAGGTTCTCCAGGTACTCCCCAAAATACAGGATTTCCACTCTGCCTACCCTCCAGCTGTACAGGTACTCCGGATACTGCTGGAGATACTGAGGGTAGTGCCCTAGGTACAAACTCGGGAACATCAGTGCTCAGAACTCTCTTTCTCGGCAGAGGAGTTAGATCAATACTCTTTTCTGAACCACTTTTACGGAGCTCTTTTATCTAAATAAAAGAAATCTTAGGAATTAGATCAATTCTCTTGTCTTAACAACTTGTCCGTCGCTTTTTTACATAGATACAAGTAATCTGAGGAGTTAGATCAATGCTCTTGTCTAAACCCCGCTCTTTTATCTAAATATAAATACAAGTAATCTGATGGATTAGATCAATGCTGTTGTCTAAACCACTTCTCCCACGCTCTTTTATCTAAATACAAGAAATCTGAGGGATTAGATCAATGCTGTTGTATAAACCACTTCTCCCACGCTCTTTTATATAAATACAAGAAATCTGAGGGGTTAGATCAATGCTCTTGTCTAAACCACTTGTCCCACGCTCTTCCATCTTAATACAAGAAATCTGAGGAGTTAGGTCAATGCTGTTGTCTAAACCACTTGTCCCACGCTCTTTTATCTAAATACAAGAAATCTGAGGGGTTAGATCAATGCTGTTGTCTAAACCACTTCTCCCACGCTCTTTTATATAAATACAAGAAATCTGAGGGATTAGATCAATGGTGTTGTCTAAACCACTTGTCCCACGCTCTTTTATCTATACAAGAAATATGAACTAGCTATAACTTTAAAAGATAAAATCATGCTTTGAAACAAATGAATTAAAGATATAAAAGATGTAGATAAAAACAAATTTTATGATCTAATATCATAATGATTCTACCGACCTGATCCTCTAGCAAGTTTAACGCTTGGACCGACATCTCGGGACTCTTCAGCAGTTTAAATGGAACTTTGATGTTCTCTACACTTGGATCCGTGTTCGCAATCAGGGCTGAGTCCTATCAAGAATTCACAATAACATTTTAGGTTCATGGATCAGGGCCCGCGATTTAAAAAACTCGGGGAAATACGGCTCGGGTCTTCGCTGTCGTTGGACCTTATTTACGACTTGAGCCTTCAGATTCAAGCTGCATCTTATTTTCCACCGTGATGAATTCAAAAAACCGGTTTAATATTCTATTTTGCGGATTTTCATGGTAGGAATTGGCTCATTCCTAGTTTTTATGAGAACAAGACTCAACATTTAGCCTTATTCTCCAGTAAAACCAACCAAGGTCGGTTTTATTTTCATTGGGCCTAACTACTTAAGTCGAGCAGCTGTCCATCATGTAACCCAAGCTGTCGCCAGAGTTGGGTCAAAGATGGGGTCTTAAAGTCGCGCTTTAGGAATTACGGCTCGAGCCAAAGGCTCGAGCGGGCTCAGGATTCACAAATATATGTGGATCCATGTGACCAAAAACATCATTAAGCCTTCATGAATGTTTTGAATAAGAAATAGCAAAAAAGGAAGAAATGGCAGTGTTAAGACAAATAAATTGGCAAAACTTGAAAGAAATATTCATTAACTGGATCTGGACACGACGGATCCAGTATTTTGATCCTGAATCCGTATCCAATTTTGATGAATAAGGTTACCTGGAAAACTTGAATAACTACAGCTTCTCTCCACAAACATTCTGAGCTCCAGAATCCAACAGCTCTATCCCCGCACTTCCAGTTCACATTCTTCTCATTCATTGGAGTAGCCATTGGAGTAGCTATTGGAGTACATAAAGGAGTAACTTTAGGAGTAGCTTCAGGAGTAAACATACATGTAGCTATTGGAGTAGCTATAGGAGTAGCTATATTGGTAGCTATAGGAGAAGCTATATTGGTAGCTATTGGAGTAGCTGTTAGAGTAGCTTCTAGAGGTTCCGGAAAAACTTCGGATGATACCATAGCTTTCGGAACCGGCTCAGTTTTGTTTTTCGACTGAGGGTTTTCCGGAGATAAAACCTTTCCAATTCCCGAGTTGTTCATGTTTATAGCAACTTGACCTTTCTGGCTGATATCCAGAAACACCCTCTCCGGTTCTGAATCTGTTGAAAGAATTCTTGAATTGCACAGAATAGTTTCATCTCTAATCTGCTCAAATCCACGCTCAGACTCTGTAAGACTAGTTATCAAACTAGGTTTCTCCTTCTCAGGGGTAGTCAGGTTTAAGTCTACAGGTGGTTGAGAGACCAGGCGCTGGGTCAACTCAGGTTTGAGCTTAGCCTGGATAACTCCATCGACAACCCTGTACTTGATGTTGATCACATCCTGCTTCTCTAATACAGCACTGAGCAGAAGAATATTGTTCTCTGTATTCTCCAACCCAAGTTCTACAATGAAAACATGCCTCATTGTGAACTGAATTTATTACTAAAATCAGGGAGTAGGAATAAAGGGAAAGGAAATGGCGCTGGTCTGGCATGTGAAATCCAGTCGCACTGCTTTGCAAACAAGTTCGATAAACCTTGCACACACTCTTTTGGTGCAGACATACAACATAACTACAGTCAAGGACATTGCAGAACAATGTCGTCAATAATGAATTGTATTTAAGCTTGAATAACGACTAGTTTATTGTAAACTTTAATCAAATTATATTCTTTGCATGAATATTTGGCTTTTAGTGATGACTTAAATACAGGGTGGCCAAAACTTTTTTGAACAAATCCGTACATCAGAGAACCAGAGAACCAGAGAACTAAAGAGCGTTGATTTTAATTTCTAAAACTGTTTAGATCAGTGTGTAGGCCATTTAACAAACAAACAATTAAGTTATAATTAGAAAGAGTGGAGTGTAGCTTTAGGATCTAATATAATTAAAAATAGCGTGGTACAGGGGTTGCACACTCAATTAAAAGAAAGTTAATATTAAACTAAGAATGAAAATATTTACAGATTAACGGAAGAAACCTGAGAGGATGTTCTCAGATCTGATAAAGAGACAGATAGATAGATAAACAGACAGACAGATAGATAGACAGAGAAACAGATAGACACATACGCATATAGATAAACAGAGACAGATAGGATATATAAACAGATAAATAAAAAGATAGATAAACTGACATGCAGATAGATATACAGATGGATAGACAGATAGCTAGATAGATAGCTAGACATATAGCTAGACATATAGCTAGGCAGAGAGCTAGACAGATAGCTAGACTGATAGCTAGACAGAAAGACAGATAGATAAACACATTCTCAAATGAACACTTCTGGAACATATTCTCAAATGAACACTACTGGGATCTCGAAAATTATGATTTAATTTTGATTGTCAATTGAAACGTTAATCAATCTAATATTATTTAGAATGCAGAAAATAAGTTTATCTAACTTCATTTTGACGAGATTTTTTTTTTAAATTTTCATGAAAAACTTGCTGAAATGAGTGAAAATAAAAAAAACCGGTGTATTTCCAGGATAAAAATCCGTAGAATCCGTACAATTTGAAAAAAAATCCATAGAATCCGTACAATTTTAGGGTTACAAAATAAAAAATCTGTACAATCCGTACATTTTGGCCACCCTGTAAATATATAAATAATATACTACATGTATATTAAACTTATTTTTAAGTAAACAATTAACAATAAACAAATGTACTCTCCTAGACTGTACAAATACCGAGATTCGTATGTACTGTATATACCTACAGTACACACCTTCTGTTCAGTAAACTTTACACACACTCTTTTGGTACAGACACACACACATGACGTTTCCTCCCCCTGACTAAAATCGACTTGAAGAGAACTAGAAGGAACTCCAGACGTAAGTTTTTAGTGACCCTTCGCGTAGCAGTTCCGATTAACAATGCATGGAACCACTAAAAGCTTCGTCTTATCAGGAAGGAATAATGTATCCATGCTTTTTTCTTTGAAAATTCATAATTTCAATATTGGTTTCTCTATGAAGCGTCTACTGATTTCTGATGCAACAATAGAGGAAATTGTGAGAATTTAACACTGAAAGCTGGAAAGACAACGATAATTCTACAATTTAGATCAGATTAATGTATAAAAGGTAACTTTGTAAATTGGACATGTTCCTATAAAAACGGAGGATCTTATTAAATTACATCTCCTGTCCTTTTATAACTCTTATTTGAATGAGAATCTCATGGGAGACTTTCAAGAAATAAAATATTTGAACTTACTTTTGATGTTTAGATTTAAAGATGCTGCAGGGAGCTTGCAAAATTCTTCGGGGATATCCATTAAATCCTTCTTATCCTTCCACTCTGTATTCCCGTAATCAACATAGAGGATGTTTATCCTCCCATCCTTCTCCTCAGTCACCCTGCATCGGTACAATCCTCCATCTGTGTACCTGGAACAATATTCATGCAGAATATGTAAACAGAGCTGTGGATATCAAGATTGATGCCTAATTTCCTCTTTTTGTTAATCTACAGATTAATTTTATCTTTTTCCAGGTAAGTGTTTAAAATTCAACCCATCAGTGTGTAGTTTGCATGAACCGAACAGCCAATCAGAAGCCGGAATTTGAACTCTCAAGGGTCGGAACCCAGTAGGGATATCCAAAAAAAGCAGATAATCAGAAGTGTCCACAATGGATATTGAGATTTAGCAATCGGGATTAAGGGTATCGTTTTCAGCTCAGAATTTCGCATTTTTTAAAGGGGGGAGGGGGTTTAAATAAAAATGGGACTTAAAACTCTTAATCAAAAAATTCTTTGGATCAGAAAACAATATGGAGACTTTAAATAGAGAATCCCATCTTCCTGGACAAGTAGCACATATCATACTTAGATTACCTCACATAAATAAAAAATTGTTACAAGTAATGTTTTTTTGATTTTTCAGATCAAAAGTTTCAAAAAATTAGATTTTGGTTCCATTTTTTTCTTCCGACAAGTTAATTTTTATATTTTTTTTTCTAAATTTTAAATATTTAAAAAAAAATTTATTTTGTCCGTTTCCAATAAAAATAATGCCGCATGTTTTGTTTGTTTCAATAGTGGGAGGAAAAAAATTTGAGCCTGGAGAGCATTCATCAAAATAATATCAGCTTCATATTTATATTCATTAACGAATATGAAGAAATCTTCCTAACACCCCTAAAAGGTCAAGTTAAAAAAGCCTGTCCCACAGGGACATAATAGCTCTCAAATTTGTAGCTTTCCTTAGTTCTTAAATCCTACTTAATCCGTTCTTACAGGTTTCAAACTTGGTTGAAAGATATTAAACATCAACTTTAACGTTTTGCTTCATCTTATGGTTAAGGTGGATTGGTTGGCATCGCTTTCTTTCTCATAAGTTATGCCATTCTAGACGTGCTCTTTAGTGTACTCCGTCAAAAGTGTTTTGGGCAGTAGACCTTGTTTTATTAGTTTTTTTATACATCTAATAAAAACCATAAGTTTGAGCACATTTTTTTTACTTCTTATTGCTTGTTTTAGTGTTTTTGTGGTAAAATAATTAGGGACAGTCATGTCAGATATTAAGGACAAAAACAACAATACAAAGTAATTGATTCTTTGCTACAAACTCTAATCTCTAAATCTTTGCAACCCAATTTCGAGGACTTCAGAAATTTTCAAAATTCTGTCAGATCAAATAATCTAAGTTTGAAATATCAAAGGTTTACACAATCAGATTGCAAAGATATAGGGAGTAGACAATTGAGGAATGTTGCAAAGAATCAATTCTTTTCTAGCGCCATTTAAGAGATAATAGTCTCCGAAAATTGAAATGACCTTTTTATAAAATTTTAGTCTCATGAACTGAAGAAAGAAAAAGAGGGAAGGAAAACGGAGGGAACAGGGAAGAAGGGGAAAGGTAGGGAAGGGGAAAGGTAGAGAAGGGGAAGGACAAAGGTAGGGAAGGGAAAGTTGGGGAAGGGGAAGGATAAGTGGAAGGTTTGAGTTTACCCAATATTTATTATGCTGTGTAAAAAACGTCTTGCAAATTTTTCGCGCTCTGCGCACAACTTCATAAAATATAGTAAAAGAATAGTCACTAGTCAGCCCATTTCAACGATAACTATAATTATAATGCACCGAAAAACCCAACTAAAAGTTTTTTGCGCACAATTCTAAATAATATAGTCTAAGATATTAGATATTTTTGAGAACTTGAGAAGAAAAAGTGTATACAAAACCCAAGTTAAATACAATGGAAAGGATAATCAAGAAACTTTATATCCCTGGACTGAAGTTAAATACTATGGAAAGGATTATCAAGAAACTTTATATCCCTAGACTAAAGTTAAATACTATGGAAAGGATTATCAAGAAACCTTATATCCCTGGACTGACGATCAAGTCCAACAATTATTTGCCGGTGCCATCATAATAAAAATTATGTATTCTTTGTTGTCAAATTTGAGGAAGAAAATCAAAAAAAAATTGAGGAGGGTGGAGGAAGAATCAAAATTATATTCACCTCTGATGTAAATTGAAGAATAAAACATTGTGTTTATGAATAATATAATAAAATGTTACGATATATGTTGAAGTTAAGTATTTATCAGGGGGCTATACCAACTCTCTTAGTGTATTTTTAAAAGTTCTAAGTAAACAATATTTACCTTGAGATAGCAACTGATCCAACTGTACAGTTCTCCAGAGGTTTTAATGTTCCATCCACAGCTGCAATGTTATCCATTAGTTGGTTGAGGTGACCCTGAATATCTACAGGTACTACCCAGATACTTTTTACAGTCTCTACAAAGGGCATTAGAACATCAAGTTCCCCGGAACTCTGCTCCATTACTTGCTCAGGGATATTCTAAAAATAAAAGCATTTAAACGTTGTCGATAATTTGTTCCTGCTCAAAAAACGTTTCAGTTCAAAGTCGTCGATTATTTGTGCAGTCTTTAAAAATGTTTAGCTCAAATTCGTCGATAATTTGTTCTTTCTTCAAAAACCACATTTGTATTTTTTTTCTATTAAAAAATTGGTAAACAAAAGTGATACAACGCAGTTCTTTATAAATTTAGACTTAAAAGCATCTTCGGGAACTTAAACTTTCAGATGAGAGGACAACAAACAAAATTCATTAGACAATGTAAACAATTAGTACCTTCTTGCTGGAAGGAAACAGAGCGGGATCAATCTGGTTTCCGAAAATTGTTATCTCTCCAGACTCCTCCGAGATCATCTTGAGCTTGATCCCCTCACTCGTCAGCAATTCATCCAACCTGACCTGGTTATCCTTGCTGTTCTCGACCCCGGCCATGATGGGTAGGTTGACCTGCCAGGAGAAGGCAGGTGCGCTAGATAAGCTGACCGGTAGCTCGAGCAATTCTTCTTTCAGTTTCGTCTCACAGTTTCCGTAATCAATGTATCGGATTTCAAACTTGGAATCTTCTACACTCAGAATTTTAGCCCGGTACAAACTGTTATCTTCGCTAAAACTAAACATAGATAAACTGACAAGAATTCTCAATTGCATGCATTGAGTTTTACATGTTGATAATAAAAAAAATCTAATATTTTTGTTACGGTTTCATTGTAGACATGCATGTCGTGCTAGCTCTAGTTCCCTGATGTGATATCTGGCTTTCAAGAAATTGCCCCGGAGTGTCAGAAAAGATTTTATTTTAATAATCATAAGAAGGAAAGGGGGAAAGGGTTAAGGTACGATTTTTGCTAAGACATAATAGGACAGCTCAGGTTCTCCACCAGTCACACTCGTGAGACGTTTCTGGGTATGGCAGGAGGGCCGTTTCTGGGCTATTGGAATGTCAGATTCAGAACATTACATTTAACCCTCTGTCTGATTAACAATGAAGAACATAAAATTGTTTATCTATCTTGAAGTGTTAAATTCTTAAAATTTCATTAATTGTTCATCAGAAATCTGAAGACACTTAATAGAGAAACCAATTTTAAAGATAATAAATAATATACCTCATTCAATCTTGAACAGATAAAGTGCTAAAGGGTGCTGTTGCGAATCAGACATGCCAATCTATAAATACTGGGTAACTTGAAACAAGGTTCCTTCAATTCCGGAAAAACTTACCTTGCAACACACAGAGCTTCAACCATAGGGTTTTCAAGAGAACCCAATTCTCCTTTTTCAAACTTCTGATCTAGGTCCGCCATCAGGATGACGAGCTCAGCCTGACTTTCCACACTAGACACCCAGACCCTCTCCACAGAGTCCACCAGGTTCACAATGACGGGGATCTCTACACCTAGGACAAACCTACTCTCTCTACAGGAGATATTAGAGATATTGATGGTTGCTGTATCTGCAGTGGAATCAGTGCTGATCAAATCCTGGTTCAGGAATCCAAGATCAGCTTCATTACCGTTCACAAACAGCCTGGCGAGATAGTCAGGTCCTTCCCTCGCAAGAATCACCTGGAAACAATAAAGTAATTTAAACAGGTGATTAGAATGCCAAACACTGTATTCGTTGCTGCTACTGTATTTACTTTGTTCCTAGCTTTTGTTTGATATGCAAAATACCATAGTTAAACATTTTCTATTTGCTGAGGTCATTAAGGAATCATAAGGAATTGAAATCTGCAAGAGACCCCATTGTGGGCCCCCCAGACCGCCCAGGCAGCAGGGTGCACTGCCCCGCCCGTTATAAGAGGTCATTAGTGTCCAATTTTATTTTATTTTTGGAAAATTAAAGGTTCATCGAGGCGACTAGACTTGGTCAAACACAGGATTCTTTGCTGCTACTGAATTGCCAGGGTTCCTAGCTTTTATTTGATAAGCATAAAACCATAGTTGAAACATTTTCTATTTGTTGAGGTCATTAAAGGTTATAAGAGGTCATAAGTATCCAATTTTATTTTATTTTTGGAAAATTGAACACAAGTTGGGCCTGCACTGCAGCCAAAAATTGGAAGATTTGAACCAAAGTCAGGGACACCCATGGTTCTTAATAAAGAACTAAAAGAATCCTTATAGAAAAGAGGCCATGATGGGTGGGACAAAGTAAATTTATCCAAGTTTACCTCAATATCCGACTCAATAAGTTTCTCCTCCAACTTTACCAAGTTCTCCTTTGTTTCCTCTACCCCTGAGTTAACAAGAAGCTTGACGGGACGAGCTCCAGCAGGTAGAGAGAGCAGGTCTCCATCTATCTTGTAGAACTCGGAGCATGTATCTCGGTTTCCAAAGTCGATGAAGATCACATCAGCAGTAGCTCCGTCCTTATGTAGTGATACTATCTGAGCGCGGTACATCTCTCCATCCCTGCTGAACCTAAATTTTTGAGAAAATGTAAACATAAACGTTTTTTAGTTATTAAAATTATCAAAAGATAAATTGTATTTAGACTGGAGTGGGGTGGGTTGTTTTTGCAGTATTTTATTTGACAATTAATTAATTAAAACGGGTTTAAAATGACAATGCTGCTGTTGTTGAATTCAAATTTTTATTTTTTAAATCTAAATGAATTAGACTTTCATTGAGTGAGAAAATGATCTTTATGAGACACCATTTAGTAACAATATCACTGGTTCAATGACCAAAATCTGTTCAATCTAGAATATAGTTGAGAATTTTAGTGATAGTGAGGGGGCGGGGGGGAGGGATGTTCTTTGTTTGTGCGGTATTTTATTTAACAGTTAATTTCTATGTAACAGGTTCAAAATGGCAATACTACAATTGTTTAATTCTAATTTTGATCATCAAAATCAAAATTAAGTTGAAAATGATGAGCTTTAAGAGACACTGTTAAGTAAAAATATCAATATTTTCAATGACCAAAATCTGTTCCAACTAAAGAAAATAAATGAGGATTAATGTGATTACCTAGCTTTGCAGACCATGTGCAGAACCGGCTTAATCCGAACCATATTCCCATTATCCTGATCTAATAGATCCCCAACCACCAGGACCAGATTCTCTTCGTTCTGTAGTCCAGGGAAGTCCTTGACTGATACCCAGATCCTGGACAAACTCTCCAGGTGCCCAACACACACAGGGATACGAACCCCCAGGGGGAGCAACACCTCAGGGTTATCATTATCTACCATTTTTGCTTCCTAAATTATGGAAATAAGATGGACCAAGTATTTAAGTAGAAAGTAATTTAAGGACTAACTCATAAATCTTATGGAAATAAAGGTTAAAACTCAAGAGCTTCTTTATCTACTACTGTGAACATAAGGATGAGAAAAATTCCAAAAATAAATTTAAAAATTTCAATTTTTTGTGTCGTCAATGTTAGGATCTTGCATTGATCTCCATGCAGAACAATAGAATAATTTAATTCCTCTTTGAGTCATACCCTGCATGGATAACTTTCATTGTAGGATAAATTATTCTCAAGTTTAAAAGATTTTAAAGTGCCAACATTAGATAAATCAAACATTCAAGATTAAGAGTATTTCTTAGGACGCTTGAACTTTAGAGCTTTTGATAAAGTTAAAAAAATTTCACTTTGATTTAAGCACTTTCTCAAAGTTAAAATACAATTTAAAAGATCAAAATCTAAATAATACTTTCAAGAGGAATAGAAGAAAAAATTTAGAACCCTTTAATCAACACTGGGATGAACAGGAAAATGGCAACAACAACCATCCACCAGGGAAAATATACTAGCATGAACATAATATAAAGATATCACATCATCCTTTAAATTTCGACAAATATATCATTCTTATTTGTAATTTGTACGTGTACGAGATTATACGAGATGAGATCTGCATGAAGCACCATCTTGGGCAACCCAGACCATGCAGAAAAGGAAAAAAGTGAGAAAAAAAATATTTTAAAGAAGCGATTTAACAGGTTAAAGATAACTATAGCCATCACCAAACAAGAGCAAACCTTGGCCGCACTCTCACTCTTGAACAACTCTACCCCGTCTTTGTAGAAGGTTCCAACTCCTTCACTGTCAATCATTAAGTCAACCTTCACGTAAAACAAAGCGTTTTCCAGATCTTTAACCGTTCTATCTGTATTCTTGAGCTTGATTTTCAGCGCAGCTGGAGGAGAATTTCTCAGATCTGCCGGTAGGTCATAGAATTCGTATTTCTTCTTCTTCTCTGTATTTCCATAGTCGATAAAACGAGCCAAGTATCCAGGCTCTAACTGGCACCTAGACCAATTTTAATTTATTTTACTTCATTTTACTCTTGAATGGTTTTCCAAAGCGAAACTTTTGTATTTAGATGGCAATGACCGATTTACCACGGTACCCTTAAACCCTTTATTTGATCAAGTATAAATAATATCGTCAGAAAAAAAACCTATTATTCTCAATTGTGGTCTCTTCTAACTTACGCATTTCTACCGTAGGAAAAAAATATAGTAACCATCAGAATTAATCACTTCTAAACCTATAGTAACAGTATTTTCCACTAAATAGATCAAATGAATGTTTCACCTTTATGAATCGGGCATTGCCATCTTTGAATGGAGAGTTACTTTAAATCAAGCTTACAGTCCCTTTAAACGCTCAGACGGTTAATTCCCCCACTAAGCGGTTCAAACTTAAACGAGACACATCTTAGTGGTACACTACCAACGGGAATGGACAATTTTTCCCCAACTTGACAAGTTTAATCCCAAAATATTTAAATTTGTCCTGGGACTTTTCAAATAAGGAACAAAATAAACTTTATCAAATATATACGAGATTTTACCTCACAAGTAATGATGACATACAAACAATATAAAAACATTACAATATATTTGTCCGTATTTTTCAATTTTAGTTTTTAGGTTTAGAACAATTATTAATTAATTAAAAAGTCCCATATAATTGGAAAAGGACTAGCATGAAAGAAAGAATGGTCAGGAAATCTAAATTATTGATACAAAAAGTTTGATATTTTGATTGTATGAAAAAAAAGATGATATCACCTGTAAAACATGTTGTCTTGAGAATATAAAGTTCCATAAATCTCTCCAACACAAGGATTCTCAAACATTGGATACTGAGAGTATTCCTTCTCCATCCTGTCCATCATATCTTCCAGTCTGATCATCTCAGATGTTGGTGTGAACCAAACCTCATTCTTGTTTTCAATCCATACAACAAGACCAGGTATTTTCTCTCCTGGGTTGCATGCAACTACTCCAGGTCCTAGATTTAGGTCTTTAATCTTCTCCTGGTTATTGTTAGTCTTGACAACTCTGGACTCTGAAGTAGGACTAGGAGTTACCGAATCATATAAAGCCTGGGGCCTGTCTGTGCTAATTTTACTCAGTAGCTTTAAATCTAGCTTTTTATTGTCGACGTATATTTTTCCAACCATCTTGGAGTTTACGACTTCCACTGAAACCTGAACAGGTTTGTCCAGCAACATGGCTTCCAGCAAACTAATGTTTTCTTCAGTTTTCTCAAAATTTTCCGTTTCGTGGATTTTAATACAATACGCACAAGGCGGCAGGTTCTTCAGTTCCACTGGGAGTTCAAACAGGTCATCCTTACTCTTCTCCTCCTGGTTTCCATAGTCTACAAAAAGAACTTGAACCTTTTCCTGGTTCTCCTGGAGTATCTTACATCTGTAATATTCTCCGTCCGGGCTGTAAACTGCAGCAAACAAGTTCTCCATGTTAAGCTCCCTAGCAGGTTTGAGATGAGGACCCAGTGCTGACAGTTCGTTCATAATTATGTCTAAACTAGCTTGGACAGTAACTGGAGTAAAATATATAGTCTCCACATCTTTAACAAATGGAATAAATCCATCAACCTTGACAAAGAGTGAAAGTACATTCTCAGTAGGACTGTTTAGAGAAGGGTCTTGTTGAACTTGAGTACAACTTTCAGGGGCATCAGATCTTAAGAAAAGAAAAAAAAGTTAAAAATAATTTCCAATGCTTAAGATGGACAGATCTACTGAGGTCAAATCTAAAGAAATTGAACCACGTCGATGAACCGCCAAAAGGCAAAAAACATGTTCCAATTGAGTGCCAGCTCAAATCTCCACTGATTGAAAATTTCAGAGGAACCAACCATGTTTGAACTATGTCTCATATTTGAATCACGTCTATACGCGGTCAAATTCTTTAAAATCGGCAAAAATTGTCCGCGAAAATATACAGATTCAGTCCGGATATAATTGGCAAAATATCAACTAAAACATCGGATGGATAACTATTTACTTGAAAATAAATATTTCAATGTATCAAACTTTTAAACTGTAAAAAAAAACTTATAAAACGTAAAATAAAACCCAAAAAACTTGGAAATATTACTTAAATTAAAATTCATGAAAATATACGCATTTTTAGTTTTGCATCAAATTTTTTAATTAAAGAAAAAAGAAAAAAACGTAAAAATACGTAAATATACGCTAGTTCTTTACCAAAAGATAAGCCAGGGTTCCTCCCAGAGCAAATTTTGGCCAGTTTCCCTGACCCAACTGACCTGCCACTTTCAGATTTGAAATTTTTGGGCAAAAATCTGCCAATTTAGGAAAAAAAATTGCGAATTTAGAGAAATAAATCTGCCAATTTTGGGGAAAAGCTACCAATTAACGCATAAAATATGCCACAAACATAAATTTAATGCAAAAAATCTGCCACAAAAATTATGTATGAGCTTTATATCTGCCACAAACATAAACTAAAAGCATGAAATCTGCCACAAAAATTATGAATAAGCTTTAAATCTGCCACAAACAAACGTAATGCAAAAAATATGCCACAAAAATTATAAATGAGCTTTAAATCTGCCACAAACATAATCTTAATGCATGAAATCTGCCACAAAAATTATGAATGAGCTTTAAATCTGCCACAAACATAACCTTAATGCAAAAAATCTGCCACAAAAATTATAAATGAGCTTTAAATCTGCCACAAACATAATCTTAATGCATGAAATCTGCCACACAAATTATGAATGAGCTTTAAATCTGCCACAAACATAGTCTTTATGCATGAAATCTGCCACAAAAATTATGAATGAGCTTTAAATCTGCCACAAACATAAACTTAAAGCATGAAATCTGCCACAAAAATTATGAATGAGCTTTAAAACTGCCAGAAACATAATTTCTTAATGCATAAAATCTGCCACAAACATAACCTTAATGCATGAAATCTGCAATAAAATTTATGAATGAGCTTTAAATCTGCCACAAACATAATCGTAATGCATGAAATCTGCCACAAAAATTATGAATTAGCTTTATATCTGCCACAAACATAATCTTGATGCATGAAATCTGCCGCAAAAATTATGAATGAGCTTTAAATCTGCCACAAACATAACCTTAATGCATGAAATCTGCAACAAAATTTATGAATGAGCTTTAAATCTGCCACAAACAAAATCGTAATGCATGAAATCTGCCACAAAAATTATGAATTAGCTTTATATCTGCCACAAACATAATCTTGATGCATGAAATCTGCCACAAAAATTATGAATGAGCTTTAAATCTGCCATAAACATAATCCTTATGCATGACATCTGCCACAAAAAGTGTAAATCTGATGCCTTTTCTGTTATTGGTTAAAATTATCGGTCTGTAATTGGTTAACTTAAGCGTCACACATGAATTCCCCCTTTTCAAAAGCTAATCTGTGCACATACTTGACTTCAAAAAGAAATCTTAAACAATAAAAATATTTTTTTAAACCCAAAGTTTCAAGAAAATAGTAATGAAAATCTTATAGGAGGGACCTGGTTATTGACCTTTTTACAGCACCAAAACGCTCTATTCTACTACCAAAATCCCAAAATTTTCTTCAAAGTTTTCGCGGGCTGTGTGTAAATTTTGCCACTTTTTGAAAATGTGCCACTTAGCTTTTATCCTGAACTGCTACAAAAATCCCTGGAAGGAACCCTGAGTTGAGCATACGAAGTTTTACGTAAATATACCTAAAACTAAGTATTCCTATAGAGGCGCTAGTATTTTTAGGTTTTCGGGAATGGTGGATACTAATCCAGATCCGTTTTATATGAAATAATCGGATTTGCGTCAAAATTAAATAAATCATTAACACTTTTAGCAGGAAAAGTTCCCATGAGCGTAATATTTTATGAATATTTAACTGGATATGAATGTAGGGGTTTGATAACCCATTTTTAAGTTCACACCAGGCTGCAAAAAATTGAATAAAGTGAATTTTTAACAGGTCCTGACAATGGGGGTTGCTTCAACCAGTAATTCTGGAGAATGGTTTGGGGATTAGTCTTAGAGTACGCTTTTTGNCCCCCCCAACCAATTAATTTTGTACATAACCAATATTTCAACAAAATTTACAACATTTATATCTTTGAGGATTAGATTAGGTTAAGACGATTTCTAGGCAGAGCGCTGCGGCAAAGACATGCTAGGGGGTCGGGGCGCTGCTGCCACATGTCCAACTATGAACATGCGTAATGCGTGGCATCAAAGCTTCATGTACAAAAATGATTATAAAACCTCACCTGTGGTTATCGTTCATCTTCCCTGGGTTTTGATTTTCCTGGGAACGATCCATATCATTCAGCTCAAAGCCCCTTAACTGGCACAAATTGAGTTTAAACTTTTAACGCAATAATCTGGTGAGAAAGATCTGAAAAAAGGTAATATCATCATGAGGTGAAGAAGAACGGTAATTTCCTAGAGAACGAATTTGGACCAACCCCTATCCCATCACTTTTGTACTTGGTTGTCATTGGTCATGTGGCAACAGAGCCCGGCCCCCTAGCCTGTCCTAGCTTCAGGGCTCGGCCACCCAGCCTGCCCTAGCCGCATCCCTCGGCCCGGAAATTGTCTTAACCTAACCTAACGTTAAAATAATAAAAAATAAATTGTAACAATTTTGCTGAAATCATGTACAAAATTGATGGGAGGGGGAGGGGGCCCCGGGAGGGGGGGAGTAAAAAAATCGTTCACTTGGACTGTCCCAAAAGAACTAAATACGATCGATTACAAACTATTACGAGTAAATATCGGGTACGTCCTGTATACAATTTTTGGACCCCCGCCCCCCTCCTTTCAATTTTGTACACGAATAATTTTGAGCAAAATTATTATTTTTTATATCTTTAATTCATTATTATTTAAAGGTTAGATTAGGTTTAGGCAATTTCTGTGCCGAGCTTAGCGGCTAGGGGGGGCCGAGCGCTGCGGCTAGGACAGGCTAGATGGCCGAGAGCCGCGGCTAGAGGACCGAGCGCCGCGGCCACAAGATCAATTATATCCATGTGTTGCATGAGATCCATGTACAAAATTGATAGGGGGGAGTTCAAAAATCGTCAACTAGGTACTTACCTAAATATCAAGTACGTAAGCGTTTTGGACGCCCCCCCCTGTTGTATCAATTTTGTACATGCATCTCAAATTACTAGTACTAGCCACAGCGCTCAGCCAAATAATTGTATTCAACTAACCTAAACCTAAAATAATAAAATAAACATACGAACTCTTATGTACAAAATTGGTAGATGGGAGGGAGGGGCCCGAGGGGTCCAAATGAATCATAAAAAGGATCTGTCCATATTTGCACTTACCCCTCGGTAATTTCCTATGAGAACGATTTTTGGACCCCCCCCCCCCCTCCTATCAATTTTGTACATGGGTGTGACAGGAAATTTCTTAACTTAACCTAACCCGTGGCCGCAGCGCTCGGCCCCCTAGCCCATCCTAGCCGCAGCGCTCGGCCCAGAATGTGTCTTAACTAACCTAACCCGTGGCCGCAGCGCTCGGCCCCCTAGCCCATCCTAGCCGCAGCGCTCGGCCCAGAAAGTATATTAACCTAACCTAACCCTAAATAACAAAAAAATAAATAATGATAAATTTGCTGAAAAATAAATGGTCATGTACAAAATTGATAGGAGGGGGGGGGGGTCCAAAAATCATTCACTAGGACAGACCCTCCCCCTCCCTTCCTCAGCTTCTTCCAATATATTCGTGAAATCAGGGGCCGAAGAGATAAATCTCTAAAAAACTACCAACTTTACCGGCCGGCCGAGGTACTTGTCAAGGTAGCCGTGAAGGGAATTGAAAACTATTGATTTAACCATGAAAAGTCACATTTTATATTTCATATGTTCCGGTAAAACTATCTAGAGATCCTATTTCACCATGTATTAACTTCAGTTTTCACAAGTTTCTTCGACGATTTCGGCAAGCCGCTTAAAACCTACAGGCATGTGAGACCTGATTTCCAAAATGGCAGCCAGTCCAAACGTTTAAAAAATTTTAATTGAAATTGAAGACGACTTGTCCTAAAAGTTTTCCCAGATTCGTAATACATAATACATAAGAAAGCAAAGACGACTTAACTTTCTCAAACATAAAAGTAGAAAAATTAGCAATTTTTAACTAGCGGGGAGGGGTGGGGCTAATTTTCTAGAGCAAAATTAATATATAAGCTTGATGAGAAAAGATTAGTTTACAGAGTTTTAACATTTTTAAAAGTTATGTACGAAATCTCCGGCGCCTTCTTCTCTCCTTCTCCTAAACCTTCCCTTCTCCTCCCTCCCACCCCACTTTCACTTCTTCCTCCGCCACTTTCCTTTTTCCTTTCCCTCCTGCTCCACCATCCTGTCTTTCCCCGTTATAACCTTCCCTTTTCCATGTTTCCACCCAATTTTTTTCTCCTCGTCCAGTCTCCACAACCTCCCCTTCTCCTCTGAACCTATACCTTCTCTCCTTCCAATGCAACATTTCCCATATCCTCCCTTCCACCCCGTCTTCGTACTTTCCGATCCCTTGTTTTCTTTACCTCCCTGTCTTATATATTCTTTTATCACTCTCCAACATTTTAATTTGTATCTTCCCCAGCTCCATTAACCTCCCATTCTCCTTCCTCTCTCAAACCTTCTCAGTGTAGCTCAATAAGCCTTCCTTCCCTCTAGCTCTCTTTCTCCTTCCTCTCCAACCTTCTTAGTGTAGCTGTCTTCGTTACCCCTTTTTTCACCTTCTCCTTTCTATGCAACCTTTCTAGCATGGATCTATTCGCCTTCCTTCCTTCCAAGCTCACCTTCTCCTTCCTCTCCAACCTTCTTAGTGTGGCTCTATATGCCTTCCTTCCCCCTCACCTTCTCCTTCCTCTCCAACTCCTCCAACCTTTTTAGTGTTGCTCCATTCGCCTTCCTAACCCCTCAACTCGTCCAACCTTTTTAGTGTGGCTCCATTCGCCTTCCTCCCCCCTCAACTTCTCCAACCTTTCCAGTGTGGCTCCATTCACCTTCCTTCCCCCTCAACTTCTGCAACTTTTCCAGTGTGGCTCCATTCGCCTTCCTTCCCCCTCAACTCCTCCAACCTTTTAAGTGTGGCTCCATTAGCCCTCCTAACCCTTTAACTCCTCCAACCTTTTTGGTGTGGCTTCATTCATTTGCCCTTTTATCTCATTTTCTTTCTTTATCTGCATCCTTCTCAATGTTCCTTCATTTCCATTTCATCTATTTTCTTTCTTTATCTGCATCCTTCTCAATGTTCTTTACATTTCCATTTCATCTCATTTTCTTTCTTTATCTGCATCCTTCTCAATGTTCTTTACATTTCCATTTCATCTCATTTTCTTTCTTTATCTGCATCCTTCTCATTGTTCTTTACAACTTTCTTTCATCTCAATTTCTTTCTTTATTAACATCCTTCTGAATGTTTTTTTACATTTCCCTTTCATCTCACCTACTTTCTTTATCTACATCCTTCTCAATGTTCTCTAATCTTCTCTTCCTTCTCACCTTATCTTTTTATTTGCAACATTCTTCTCTTAATACCCCTTCCACATTATCTACTCTTTTTAATCAGCAACTTTCTTATTCTTCTCTTAATCCACCTTCTACTTTATCTACTCTTTTTAATCAGCAACTTTCTTATTCTTCCCTTTATCCTCCTTCTACTTTATCTACTCTTTTTTAATCAGCAACTTTCTTATTCTTCCCTTAATCCTCCTTCTACTTTATCTACTCTTTTTAATCAGCAACTTTCTTATTCTTCTCTTAATCCTCCTTCCACATTATCTACTCTTTTTAATCAGCAACTTTCTTATTCTTCTCTTAATCCTCCTTCCACATTATCTACTCTTTTTAATCAGCAACTTTCTTATTCTTCTCTTAATCCTCCTTCTACTTTATCTACTCTTTTTAATCAGCAACTTTCTTATTCTTCTCTTAATCCTCCTTCCACATTATCTACTCTTTTTAATCAACAACTTTCTTATTCTTCTCTTAATCCTCCTTCCACATTATCTACTCTTTTTAATCAGCAACTTTCTTATTCTTCTCTTATAAATCCCCTTCCACTTAATATCTTCTCTTTTTAATCTTCAACTTTCTTATTCTTCTCTTATAAATCCCCTTCCACTTTATGTCTTCTCTTTTTAATCAGGAACTTTCTTATTATTCTCTTATAAACTTTGTCTTCTCTTTTTAGTCAGCAACTTTCTTATTCTTCTCTTATAAATCCCCTTCCACTTTATGTCTTCTCTTTTTAAACAGAAAATTGCTTATTCTTCTCTTCAATTACCTTCCACACTTTCTTCTCTTTTTAATCTGCATCATTCGTATTTTTTCTTCCCGTCCCTACCAGTTACCAGTTACCACCTCTTCTTTTTCCTTTGAAACTTTGATATTGCTATCTTAGCGTTCTTGCCACCTTACCTTACTTCCACCTGTTAAGAAAATAAAACTAACGATGGACGAACGAATTGGAACGTTCAGAGAAATGGGAAAACTGTTGGGTTTTTTTTTCAAACGAACAAAAAAGAGGAACGTTTAAAAATCGTTTAATTGCTCTCTTCATCTATATTCCACTTACTCTACTCTATCTTTCTATACGACATAATTATACTTCCACTTCACCTTCTTTTATCATGAACCTTCTTATTCTTCTATTCCACTCTTCTCTACCTCGTCTTCTCTTTTATCTTTTATTTTTACCCACAAAGGAAGAGACTTTATTGACGACCTAATACTAATAGAATATGACGATCTACAGACAAAATGTTTGAACCATTAATTTGTTGAATTCTGTAGGTTAAGGTTTTATCAGTCATATTTCATCAAATTTCGGTAATTTCTTTCAGACATTTATTAGCAATTTATGAATTATTTGAAAATAAGAAAATGGAACTGAAAATATAAAATATGATAATCTAACTGCTTCAGGTCGTCATATAAACAATTTTGAAGTTTGTGAAAATTCTCAGATTTTTCTGGATCCTTTTAAAAGTCCAAAAAGTTAAAAATTTTTTGGAAAATGCACTAAGCTATGTTCCATCACTAGTAATAACTTTTAACCCTCATTTTCTATTTAGAACATTTAAATACTTATTAAAAGAGAATTAAATAATTTTAGATGTCTAGGCCATTCGGTTCAAATTGATTTTCAGAAAAGTTAAATTTTCAGATATAAACAGAGTAAGGCTCTCGAGATCGAATTTAATGTGGTACACTGTAAAACATGACACCATTAGTAACAAAAATTTGGATTACAATTTTTAAATTCTATACATTTTTTATGTAATATGTAATTTAAAGTAGTTCAAGTTATTAATAATCAGTAAAATGCAGTACACAATATTTATCGATGCATGAAGTACACAACATTTCTCGATGCATGAAGTACACAACATTTCTCGATACATGAAGTAGACAACATTTCTCGATTCATGAAGTAGACAACATTTCTCGATACATGAAGTAGACAACATTTCTCGATACATGAAGTAGACAACATTTCTCGATACATGAAGTAGACAACATTTTTCCGACATGCAGTTCATAACAATTCTAGCTAGGCAACAGCTTTGCTAGAACCTCTCAGCTGTGCAAATACTTTTAAAAATTCAGATTCAGGTTCCGGACTGCTGCTTTTGCTGCTGCTTCCTGAGCTGTTTCCATCCCAGCTGCTCTTACTGCTATTTCCGTCCCAGCTGCTCTTACTACTGCTCCCGGTACTGTTGTTATCCCAGCTGCTCTTACTGCTTACAGAGTTTTTACTCAGCTCCCAATTACTCCTGCTTTTTTGACCAAGTGTGGAACTTTTTCTAATCTCAGTCTTAGTTTCTGGAAGAACATGTGCCTCGTGTACACTATGTACTGGATCCCATCGTTTTCGTGGATTTGTTGTCAACTTTTGTTTGGAAGATGTTGGATGATTAATGTTTGTATTATTCTTGAGAAAAATGTTGATTTTTTCTTCTTCTTCGATTTTCTCTTCACACTCAATTTTATCTGCATTCAACTGAAATAAGATATTGTTATTTTGTGTTGTACAATTGTTCATCATACAGGGTTACCCACAAAGGATTAGACTTCAAAGACGACTGTAGGGAATTTATTTAGTCTTAGCTTTCGTATAATGCATCTTGGTTTTCAATGACTATTTTACAATTCAGTTTATAATTATTAAAGATTATTATAAATACAAAAAACCAAATTAAACCTTCAGATAGTTTTAACTAAATTAGCATTTCAGGTCATCACTAAAGTCTCATCTTTTGTGGGTAACCCAGTAATAAAGATATCATTATTTTCTTCATTCTTTAAAAATACTTTGATCTTGAAAAAAGATTTAAAATACAGAGATTACGTCATGACATAGCCAAGAGGATTAAAGTAGGATGGATTTGAGCACTAAGTAGTTGTGTGGGCCTGGAGCTAAGGAACTACAAGGACGGATAACCAGGAAACGATGAATGGGTGGGAGGACAGTAAATTACCGGATTAAGGAAGAGATGAGAAAAATGAGTGCAATGATATATCCGGAGAAAGAAAATAGAAGTAGGAAAAAAGAAGAAACTGAAAAAAAAGTAGGAATTAAGGAAAAGTAGAGGAGTAGAGTACAAGTCTGGATAAATATTGAGAGGAGTAGAGGAGTAGAGGAAAGAGGAAAAGAGTAAAAGGATGGATTAATAGTAAGAGTAGGAGTAGAGGAGTAGAGTGCAAGAATGGACTTTAAGGAGGTATGAGACATGGAGTACAAGGATGGATTAAAAGTGAGAGGAGTGCAGATGAGTGGAGTACATGGCTTGATAAAAAGTACGAGGAGTAGAGTACAAGAATGGATTTTAAGTAAGGTCTGAGACATGGAGTATAAGGATGAACCAATAGTAAGAGGAGTAGAGGATTACAGGATGGATTAAAAGTAATATTTGTAGAATACAAGAAAGGATTAAAAGCAAGAGGAGTAGATAAGTAGATTACTACAGGATGGATTAATAGGAGAGGAGTGAAGTAAAAGGATGGATTAAAAGCAAGAGGATTGGGGGAGAAAGGGGGAGAGAAAAGGAAACTAGATTAGGTTAATGAGAAGGATGAGGGGAAAGGGATAAGAAGGATGAGGGGAAAGGAAAGGGGATTAGGGGGATGAGAAGGGCGAAGGGAAAGGAGAAAGAAGAGGGAGGAGGAGAAAGATTAGGGGAAAGGAGAGTGATTAGGGGAATGAGAAGGATAAGGGAAGGATGAAGGAAGGATGAGAATTACATTATCATCTTGCATGGGTTTTATGTTTCTGCATATTATTTCCGCATATACTAAAATATTGTTGCATGGTTTGAAGGATAATTGGTTTAGGTTTAATTAAACCATCTGGTCAGTTCATTTAGATCCTGTGCTTATACTTATTGTATTCTTTAAACATGAGACAGAGGATATAGAATACAAATATGGAAAACAAAAATGCAATCAGAGGACAAAAAATACTTCTTATAAACTTAAGCTTAAACAAGTGCTTTATAATTCTAAAGTGTACTACGCCAAAAGACACAGGATACAGGTATCATAAACATAGGAACTGATATTTTTAATCTAACGTTGGAGACATTTGATCTTTCAAAATATGAACTCTGTTATAATAAATAGTCAAAATTTACAAGATCAAAGGTTTACACCATCAGAATGCAAAAGATATAGGGCTCAGAAAATGAGAGTTTGAGTCGAGTGTTCAGTTACTTAATATGAATTCATGAATGCATGCTACAATGTTAACTAGAAGGAGAATGTCAAATTTATGTTGCTACGACTTTGTGACCTCCTAGGTCGTAGTATGTTAAGGCCAAATTTATTTGGTTAATATCAGAAATTCGTAACATGTTTGCTCTTCTCAAGCTCTTCAATAAGAAGAGTTATGAATGATTGAAAACATATGGATTACAATTTCCTCTAGTTTGACGCCTGTCTAATGTCTGAACAGTATTCTATATCTGTCTAATGTCTGAACAGTATTCTATATCTGTCTAAAAGCGGAAGCTCAAATCATCTCCCTCCCACTCTTCCGGCCTTTTTTAGACATGTTATTGTTTACGGTGCTATTATTATGTCGAGTGTGTGCTTCAAAAGAGAGGAACGGGGGGGGGGGTCCAATTGGACTTGAAAAAGGTTAAGTAAGATAAAATCAAAACTCTCTTCTCACAACCCACAAGTTAAGAAGGTTTCAACAAAAGAATTTGAATTCTTAACTGTAAATTTCGATTATTCGCAAAAACTCGGGTTTGAAATTAATTCTGATATATTTTTAAATCCTCATCAAACAGTCCTTTAAGATCAAAACTGGTACTTTATGGTATTTTATGAAAAAATCTTTCATTTTAACAAAGGAAACATAGGAAATTTCTCAAATGTTACAGACAGAGTCATAAAACTTTGGAAAAGGAAGACGATATTTCTGCAATCCTATGTGTATTTGTTGAAAAGCAACTTGTGCAGTAGAGTAAAATGGATTTAGAACAGTGTACAGGGAAAAATTCTGTTTCTCATGTTCATTGCATCACCATTCAAAGTCATAACTTGAGTCTCAGCTTTATGGGTTTTACTGCCTTTAGACCAACATTACCGACCCATAATTCCCTTAACAGAGGGACGTTTAGTTACTTTACGTCCCTTGGGACAATTTAGTAAAATAACCACTGCCCTGTGAAAATATGAAAATATTCGGGTATTTGCTTCTCAAAAGACTATAAAATTATAAACTACTTTTCGGGAAATTAAAAATGTTTCTCAACCACGAGTTATCTCGACCAACTTTGCCAACACAACATACCTCGCTACGCTGTGGATGTTCTGTTGGCAAAATTGGTTATAGGAACCCTTGCCCGTAGAATTTTAAAACCCTTAAAAACAAATTTTAAATCTTGAAAAAAAAATTGAATTTTGAAGAAAATTTTTTTTTTAGCCTCTGTTAATTCTTAAAATCCATTTTTAAAAGCATATGACATCCCCCGGCCACTCATGAGTGTCAACAACAAAATTCAACCCACTCGATCTAGCCGTTTGGCCGGCCAGAGGGAACATAGATATAAATGAATGTCTTGTTTTATTTTATAGATAATTCTTTTAATTTTTCTTTAATTATTTATTTGAGGTATCGTTGAAAATCGCTCTAAGATATTGTTGAAAATCCCTTTAAAATTTCGTTGCAATCCCTTTAAGATATCGTTAAAATCCCTTTTAGATATCGTCGACAATCCCTTCAACATTTCGTTAAAATTCCCTTTAAGATATCGTCGACAATCCCTTTAACATTTCGTTAATAATCCCTTAAAGATATCGTTGACAATCCCTTTAAAATGTCGTCGATAATCACTTTAAGATTTACCTGTTCTAATCGTTTAGCTCTCTCTGCTAGCATCTTCTGGAACGGGGTTTCTGGTTCCTTCTCCTCCTCCCTCTCCCTCTCCTCCCTCAACCTCTTCTGTCTCTCCAGAACCTTCTCCAGTTCAGATTTATTCAATACGTTTACACCACTAAACATAAATTTATATATTTATAGCAACATTAGTCTCTATAGAACCTTCTCCAGTTCAGATTTATTAAATATATTCACACCACTAAACATATATTGATATATTTATAGTCACATTAGTCTCTAGAACCTTCTCCAGTTCAGATTTATTAAATATATTCACACCACTAAACATATATTTATATATTTATAGTAACATTAGTCTCTATTGAACCTTCTCCAGTTTAGATTTATTCAATACGTTCACACCACTAAACATATATTTATATATTTATAGTAACATTAGTCTCTATAGAACCTTCTCCAGTTCAGATTTATTAAATATATTCACACCACTAAACATATATTTATATATTTATAGTAACATTAGTCTCCAGAACCTTCCCCAGTTCAGATTTATACAATATAATCACACCACTAAACATATCTTTATATATTTTTAGTAACATTAGTCTCCAGAACCTTCTCCAGTTCAGATTTATTCAATATATTCACACCACTAAACATATATTTATATATTTATAGTAACATTAGTCTCCAGAACCTTCTCCAGTTCAGATTTATTCAATATAATCATACCACTAAACATATATTTATAGTAACATTAGTCTCTAGAACCTTCTCCAGTTCAGATTTATTCAATATAATCACACCACTAAACATATATTTATATATTTATAGTAACATTAGTCTCTAGAACCTTCTCCAGTTCAGATTTATTCAATATAATCACACCACTAAACATATATTTATATATTTATAGTAACATTAGTCTCTAGAACCTTCTCTAGTTCAGATTTAGATTCTAAAGATAAAGTGGTTATTAAATTAAAGTTGAGACGGAAAATTATTTGATGATTCAAAACTGTAAAAATATCACTGGATTTGAATCCTGAAATTTTATAATAAATATTTGATATTGGAAAGAGTCGAACAAATGGCACATAAAAACAAAAAACAAAGGACTCTTAAAAACACAACAAGTTTAAGAATTAAATATTTTAAATGGGAAATAATAAAAGATATATTTTACTCACGTTTTAGCATTCCATTTGATTTCTCTGTTGAGATCTCTAACTGATGGAGAGGAGAGACAGGGATTCGAGATTTTCCGGGGTATTATTAAACCTTCAGCATCCCGTCCCGTCATACTCATCCTGTACATAAACATTGTATACGGTGTACATAGAACATAATCATACTGTACAGAGAACACACTCATCCCGTACATAAACATTGCATACAGTGTACACTGTACATAGAAAATATTCATACTATACATAAACATGGTATATAGTGTACATATAACATACTAATCCTGTATATGAACATTGTATACAGTGTATATAGAACATATTTATACTGTACATAAACATGGTATATAGTGTAAATAGAACATACTTATCCTGTACATAAACATCTTATACGGTGTACATAGAACAGTACATGAACATGCTATATAGTGTACATAAAACATACTCATCCTGTACATAAACATTGTATACAGTGTACATAGAACATATTCTTACTGAACATAAACATGCTATATAGTGTACATATAACATACTAATCCTGTACATAAACATGGTATACGGTGTACATAGAACATACGAATCCTGTACATAAACATAAAATTCAGTTAGAAATGCACACAGACGACTTGAAATTTTAAAAACTGATAAATGTTTCCATCTCTTTTTGTCCCTGTTGAAATTTTGTTTTAATCATTTATTTTTATCATTTTTAAAAATAATAATTTCGAAATGTAATTATTATAATACGTATATTATTAGTAGATTTAATTTAATTTTTCCCCTCATTTTTGTTCACACATTTTTGATTCAACCTTTAAATAAGTCGTGTAAAAATTTAAATTGTATCCATCAAATAATGACATATTTAAAATATCGTATTTATTATGACATTGGTGGATTTACCCGTGCAAATATTTTTCATTTAAAGCATTGAACCAATTCTTAAACAGGACCAAGGCAATAACATTTCCACATTGATCCAAAGGTTGCAAGTTTTTAGGCAAAAATTTCCAATTACTTCCTAACAACCAAAGCTAAAAAATATTACTTTATGTACTTGTCTGGAGATATTAAAAGTATAAGTGAGTTATAATCAAAGGCCGGTTGTGAAAATTGACGCCACTTTTTACAGCAGCCTGGATCAATGTGCGCTAATTTAAGTTACACGACCGTTTGACATTTTGTGACGGACGTGAGTTGAAATTGTGACAAAGCTAACTATTTCTAAGCTGGTTCAACATATTGCATTCAAATCTCAAAAATAAAACTTGTCAGTGTTTTTCTCCCGTCTCAAAAAAATATTAATTCTATCAAACTATTAGCTCTTGCAGTCGCTCAATCTCGTTAAAACAGAATTTAATAGAAGATTTTTATCAGCAGAACAAATGTTTTAATTCTAACACATGCTATGTTTGCAAAAGAATCGAAGAGGCCAAAGACGATTTTACAAAAAAAAAAGAATAAAAAGATTAAAAAGAGTAAAAGATATAATCAAACATAAAGGATGTCAAAAATCAGCGCGAATTAAAAAGATTCTTAAAAATGCCCGTTTTTCATAAAACCTATATCTTTTTAACACTCCATAAAGCTTTTTTTTATTTTTTTTTTAACATTACAAATAAATCTATAATTTTTTTTTCTAAAAGTTGTTAGTTCATCGTCGAAAAATACTAACAATCCATCACTAATTTAAATATAGTGTAAACAATAAATATGTAACCTTCCTTATCCTTTCCTTTCCTTTTCCTTTCATTTGTATTTTTATATCTTTTTAATTGGGGGGAAATATTCCCACAACCTCTACTTTTAGAGGTTTTTAAATATTTTCTCCTGAAACACTTTATTTTGTATGTTTTTGTTATATTTCATAAATAAATAATTTTTTACTTTACTTTACTTAAAAAAAATTTACCATGGCGGCATCTCACGGTTTCATTTGGGACTGTTTTTTCAAGTTTACAACCCCGCCCCGCCTTTCTCTTTTACGTACGCAGAATAATTCCTTTTGAGTAGAGGATGGAAGGAAGGATTTATTTCAAGGATTAATCATCCAGGATATATCAAGTTACATCTCTACATCATGGCCAACTATACTTCTTTATATTTAGAAAATTGAAAATAATGACAATTTTATCCTTCATTTTATCTATCATCATCTATATAATAAAGCTATTAGCTCATATATATATATATATGAATTCTGTGCAGTCCCTTTATCTTTTTACTATTCTAATAATCCAGTACAGTATCTTTATGCATCTTTTCAGCTATTCTAATATTCCAGTACAGTACCTTTATTTTTTTACTATTCTAATAATCCAGTACAGTCCATTCATATATCTTTTTTCTATTCTATTGATCCAGTACAGTACCTTTTTGTATCTTTCTCTTTTCTAATAATCCAGTACAGTGCCTTTATGTATCTTTTTACTATTCTAATAATCCAGTACAGTCCCTTTATATGTCTTTTTTACTATTCTAATAATCTAGTACAGTACCTTTATCTTTTTATAAATTCTAATAACCCAGTACAGTACCTTTTTGTATCTCTTTTACTATTCTAATAATCCAGTACAGTACCTTTATGTATATATGTACATTTAAATATTTATATAGAATTAGCTTCAAATCAAAACATTTTAATATATTTCAGAATCTCACTATATATGTATATATATTAGCTATAGCTGGCCAAACGGCTTTACCAAATTGGCTGAAATTTTTTTAAGGAAACCCTTGAGTACCCCGAGGGTTACATATGCAAAATAAATTGTTTAACCCAGGTATCGAAAGTAAATTCATGATATATCATCATATATTTATTCAACTACACAGCATGAGATATTACAAATAAGCAATTACAATTTACTATGCAGTTTGGACCCGCCTAACCAGGGTTGGTTGTTTTGAGTGGTTGGCCCGAAGTTAATTAACGATACTGAATATAATTGGTTACACATATCAAGATATGTTTTTGGATAGGTAAGGAGTTGATTGGAAGGAAGGAGATTGTCAGGTGATCTGTGGCAGGGTGAGATCAGAGGGATTTTTATGTAGAGATAAATTAAAATCGTTTTCCTTAAAGAGTTTTTATAAACTTCTAGAAATATTGGAATTACACAAAGAAAACCAGGAAATCTGCGAATATTTAAAGTGAAAGCCATGACATTAAAAGCAACTTTTAAAAGCTAAAATATTTAATACTACGTAACGTCTCTTTTATGGTGCACGTGTACATATTTTAAATTTAAAACCTGTAAAACTGCATGGTTGTGTTCGTTGAAAAGAACCTTTAATTATAGATATCTATCATCACGTTATAAGATTGCAATATTTGATCGATAATCACGACACTAGATTGAACAATGAATGGCAGAACGTGACAAGTAGGATTTTATAATCCTCCATTTTGCTGAAGACGTAATGGTATTTATTATTATGTAACTACTAACTAGAGGAACCACAGACTAGATAAACACAGACTGCTCATAAACTCTCAAAGGTTAGGCTAAGCAGGCCAATAGTTGTCCCGGCAAGACATGCTACATTTCCAAGAAAGCTTTTGGGCTGCCATCTAACATCCACTTATAACCATTCAGGGGTAAAGTTTTACAATTCTTAAATAAATACTCTTACTTTTAACATCAAACATAAAATGTATGAATTTAGTCTATTTTTGAAGGTTTTGTATTTCGTATCCAAAGAATCCAGAAAATTCCTAAATACAGACGTCTATTTATTGGCCGTGTACTCCAGTTGTACACCACTGGAACCTGCTGTGGAGAATATCGCAAATTCTAGCCTTTAATAGATCTCAGTACTCTCATATCTTATCAGAGGAACTACAGATGAACTATAGAGGAACTATAGAAGGGAATAGTGAACTTGAATCGATCATTAGGAGGATAACTACTATAATTTATCACGAAATGGGCAAAAAATGTAATTTTTATCATATTTCAGAAACGACCCCTGCATTTAATTTCGATACAACATAAAACTGTTTTTTTTAATACTTTCATTAAAATGAAACTTAGTATTAAAGTCGACTCTGCACTTAACACACAAATGCTAGAATTAAGAACATTCCCGTGTTTCTACCAAGTTCACCGATCAAAATTTGAGTCAAATTGGTCAAGGGTTTCAAGAGTTATGATCAGACATACAAACAGACAAACATCGATTAACAAAAATGGATATACAAAAGATACTCAAAAGGAACAGAGATCAGCCTAATTCTAATTGAATCTTAAAACCTATAGTTTAGTTTCGATAGTGAAAATATTTATATATATATACAGGGTGAGTCAAAAAAAGTGTGATTTGCGGCGCCTGGTGCAAAATTGTACCTTTTTCTGTGCAACTCTCCTGTATGGTCTTTTTTCAATATTTTTTGAAAATTTGTAATTTTTTTTGGTACTTCAATGACCTTAAAAAATTCCTCGTATTTTTTTTCTCTCAAAATCAAAAGTTCAGAAAAGCAAAAATGTGCATTCATATTATTTCTCTCTAAATCTAAAATTTTTAAAAATTGAATCACAGAAAATTGGCAAAATTGTAATAAGAAAATTCGCAATTTTCAGTTCTGGGCTAATTTTTAAGGAAAAGTGATTTAAGTTCTCTAGTTCATTTCTTCTTAGTATAGTCTAAAGTATTAAATAGACGTTGTTCAGTTGAAACCTTAAGAATTATTGAAAAACAATTTTTCCGTAAAAGTGATTCCAGAACTGAAAATTGCGAATTTTCTAATTACAATTTTGCAAATTTTCAAAGATTCTGTGATTCAATCTTTTTAAAATTTTAGATTTCGATAGAAACAATTTATTTACACATTTGTGTTTTTCTGAACTTTTGATTTTGAAACACCATACAGAAGAGTTGCATAAAAAAAGTTACACTTTTGCACCAGGCGCCGCAAATCAAACTTTTTTTTGACTCACCATGTATATATTTATATATATCCTTTCTTGAAATTGGTTAATGGTTGTACATTACATCCTTCAAAGCTGAAAACTTTAGAATTGGATATCCTTCATCCCGATCGGTTAATTAATCTGGAAGATAACAAGAGAAGAACAAGAATTATTTAACCTGGAGATTAAGAAAAAGAGGAGATCAAGCAG